GATGCACAGCCCTGGTGTTTCCAAGACACAAGGAGGGTGAAAGTCCTGTGTGGCCAAAATGACGCTGGAAAACCCCTTTGTATTAGGCCAGGCCAGGCTGTGCTGCAGTAGCAAATTAGCCCTGAAGTCTTAGGAAATGACCGCAAGGGTTTGTTTCTCACTCAGGTGTTTTTTTGATGAGCATCGGGTGATCTCTCTAGGGTCCCTGCCTTCCATGCAGCAACTTAGCGATCCAGGCTCTTGTGGGCTCATGACCTCACCTCCTGGGGACTGGCTTCCAGAGACCACAGCGGGGGAGGGGAGTGGGGAGATGCACACCCATCCCGAAGTGTCCCAAACCAGAAGCTGCACAGGTCAGCTCCACTCAGCCTGTTTGCAAGAGTCAAGTCATATGGCCCCAGCCACACCACAAAGGAAGCTGGGAAGTGCAGGGGTGCATAAGGAAGAGCAGTACCTCTCCCCGCGATACCTCATTCACATGGCTTCTGAGCTTTGGATAGTGCGAGAGCGAGGCTGGCCTGTTAGGTCTCTGAGTTTGAGTTGGCGAGTCTCGATAGTGAAGAGTTGCCTGCATTTGGGGAGCGGGATATTTCTGCTGTACCCTGAACCCACGCACCGAGTACATGTGCAGAAGGGAGCTTCTGGGCTCTGCCATCTGGCATTGCTGTCCCACGACTGCTTGCACTTGGTTGCATTAGGGACTGCGTGTGAGTGCTCAGTACCGGGCTCCCATCACCGTGTTACTATTAGAAGGTATTTGGCCGTGCCAGGTGAGGGGGGGTCAGTTTGAAGTGGGAGGTGTGTTGTCTGCAGAGCCTGACCCTGAGTTGCTAAAGCTACAACCCAGGTCCTAAACAGGTCCCCGAGCGTGCAGCCTGGTGTGTGCCTACCGGGGTGCGCGGTGGGACCTCTGAGACTCCGGAGGGTCTTGGGCCTGGGTCACAGCTCACTCTGCTTTACGGAGAGGAGGCCGCAAGCAGCATTAACCCTGAGGAAGGTGGAGCCAGAAGCACGAGGGTGGGGGCAAGGGCACCTGCTGGCCCAGGTATTGTCCAGGTAAGCACTTTCCCAATGTGGGGGGAGACGGGGGCGCCTGCTGTGTGCCAGGCCCTGGGCTCAGTGCGTAGCCTCGCTCACACGGGAGGGGACCCCCGGGCCAGAGGGGAGCGGGGAATCGGCGTGGTGCCCCCCAGCATCGAGCTGTTACCCACCGTTCATTCTCTCACCCCCATGTCAGTTCTGCGGCTCGTTCCAGAAAAATGTTCCCAGTCAGACCACTTCTCTTCCCTCCCGTTGCCACCGCGCTGGTCCGTCCCTCGTGTTCCTGTGACAGCCACCACCTCGGGGTCTCCCGGCTCCTGCCCTGGCCACCCCCTCCCCGCAGTGAGCCTGTGACAAGACACATCACGACCCGCCTGTGGTCCCCATCTCGGCAGCCGGACACCCTCACAACGTGGCTGCCCATGGCCTCTGCCCGCAGCTCCTCTCTGGCCACCTCACGGGCCCTCCAGCCACAGGCCGGGCGCTGCTGGCCTTCCGGTGTGCAGGGTGCAGGCCCAGCTGGGCTCGTCCCTCTTGCTGGTGCCCTGTGTGTGTTACGGTAGCAGCTCCGCGACAGCAGGGTCGAGCTGTTTATTCCTTGACGAATGGATGAATGGCCCACCACCAGCATGTAGCATGCGCCCAGGTGACTGGGTTCTCTGATCCAGGTCCCAGCCCTCTGTACTGTCATCGGGGACTCTAGAACTTGCCTTCCAGGAGCTGTGGTTTCTTCCCTGCTACAGCTGGGATCATTGTGTCCACCTGGCCAGGCGAGTGTGAGGATGGAAAGAGATCCAGGTAAAGCACCCAGCACCATATCTGGCCCTCAAGACCCCATCCTACATTGTGATGTAGGATTCAGTCCTTTGTCCGTCCGTCCATCCATCCCATCATATACTTGTTGCTTACTGAACACTCTCGCGTGCTCCGTACCAGCCAGGTGCTGGGAGGCACGGTGAACACGCATGAACAAATCCTTTGCCTCAAGAAGGAAAGGGGAGCCCTGGGGCACCTGGGTGGCTCAGGGGGTTAAGCATTCAACTCTTGATCTCTGCTCAGGTCATAATCTCACAGTTCATGAGTTTGAGCCCTGAGTCGGGCTCTGTGCTGACAGCATGGAGCCTGCTTGGGATTCTGTCTCCGTCTTTCTCTGCCCCTCCCCCACTCATGCTCTCTCTCTCTCTCTCTCTCTCGCTCGCTCGCTCTCGCTCTCTCGCTCTCTCTGTCTCAAAATAAACAAAAAAGAAGAAGAAGAAGAAGAAGAAGAAAAGCTCTTTCCTTCACTTCTGGTGGGATACCAGAGTGAAATTCAACTAGTAGCAAGCTGAGGTTTTAGCACTAACAAAGGGTGTGAGAGGCACTGTGGCCCAGTGGTTAGCACGTGAGCTCTGAGGCCAGGCCACCTGGGTTCACATCCCTCCTTATGCTCTGTCTCCATTTTCTCATCTGTAAAAGGGGCCTCATCAAAGCATCCTAGTAAGGTGATGGTCCCATTGTAAGGATTCCCAGAAAGGCCATGGCAGGCATCGGGCTTGGTAAGCGTTTGCGGTGATGGGAGGGCACACAGGTGAGGATAGGGGACGTGCTGAGACTGGTACTGACCACACGTCTGTATGTGGCTTTGCCTGCATCTGGGTCCCCCACCCCTGAAGCCTGTGGCAGGGGGATGGCCTGGGTGGCCCCGCAGGCTGGTCTCCGAGAAGCCGTGGTGTGGGTCCAACAACCGCCTTGTTGGCGCACACTCCGCTCGCTGGCAAACCGCCTCCCCCCAGGGAAGAGGCTGTGGTGGCCCTCGAATGACCCTGAGTGAATTTGCCAAACACAGCTGCTGCCACTTCTGCCTGCGGTCGCTCTGCCCGGATGTCAGGTGGCTCTGCTCCAAGTGGAAAAATGGCAGGTGCTGCGTCTGGTCCCTTCCTGGGCTTCGGAGTTGGGCAGACGTCCCCCGCGCCGCGTCCTGGGCTGTGGTGGGGAACAGACCCAGGGGCAGAGCCCCACTCGGCCACTCACGAGCTGGGTGACACTGGCAGGTCACGTGAGCTCACTGAGCTCAGTCTACTCATTTATAAAACGGGGCTGGCAGGTGCTAGTGATGGTGGGGCGGGCCCTTTGTGGGTAGGACTCGGGGCTGGAGGGATCAGACAAAATGAGCTTCTGGCCACCCCTTGGCAAAGGGACATAGGAGCTGTCATTAGGTCTAGATTTAGTTTACTCCGGGCTGAAAACCCTATGTCGGATGGACCAGCCGAAAGTCCCAGCAAGCAGGTGGGTGTCCACAGGCCCCTCTTGACACACCAACACAGCCACTGTCCACGTATCCGTGGCTGGGCCCTGGGCCGGGTGAGCCCAGTGCCTCTCAGCCGGTGATTGGTCCACCAGGGGACATTTGGCAGCGTCTAGAGACATTTTTGTCACAACTGGAGGTGACAGCACTACTGGCATCTAGTAAATAGAGGCCAGAGATGCTGAACATCCATCCGACAGTGCACAGCACAGACTCATCAGCCCACCTGGCAGCAGTGACGTGGTTAAGGGGCGCCTGGCGTCTGACTCTTAATTTGGGCTCAGGTCATGATCTCAGGGTCGTGGTATCGAGCCCCACATCGGGCTCTACGCTGAGCGTGTATCCTGCTTAAGATTCTCTCCCACCCCTCTGTCCCTCCCCAGCTCTCTCTCTCCGAATAAATAAACATAAAAAAATAATGACGTGCCTAAAAAGATCCTGGTGTGGATACTCTTTACCCCACGGAGGTCCTCAAACAGAGCAGTGTTGATAATAATAGCGAATGTCAGTGGGTGCGTACTCTGTGCCCTGCTCAGCCCCGTGTTCATGTCACCCCCAGCGACGCCATGAGCTCACTGAAGAACACTGGGGCTGGCATCAAGCTCTGATCCAGGCATTTACTCCTTTCTGCCCTTCACAGCTATATGCCCGTGGGACCTCAGGTTGGGCTATTTTAGACTCTAGCCCCCCTTTCCTAGTGCCGGAAGCCAGCTTTAGGAGCCCGTGTCCGATTTCCAAGCGCCGTGGGAAACTGGCCCGAGCAGTGCGGCATGCGGTGACTCCCCTTCACCAAAGCGAGCAGCGGACCGTCCCTGCCCAGGCCTGAGGCTGCTCTGATGCTGGGACTGTCCCCCCATACCCCCCACCAAGAGCTGGAACTTGGTCTTCAACAAATGGAGGGGGTGTGCAGTGAGGTGAGGCTCTCAGTGGGGGCCCACTGGGGGGGCCCGGCTCCGCGAGTCCTATCTTTGGAGGTGAATGTGCACTGTGCACTTGATTGTTCCCAGGGGGGCCATTCTTGGTGTGGGTTGTGGCTTGTGCGTTGGTTCAAATAAGACGCTCTTGGGGCTCATCTCTGAGGGTGGAGGAGCAGCAAGGGGCAGGGAATGCTCTGGAATCATATGGAGGGGGCGTCCCATTTGGAAACATGTCCCAGGGGGCGCCTGGCTGGCTCGGTCAGTTAAGTGTCTGACTCTTGGTTTCTCCTCAGGTCATGATCTTGTGGTTCATGTGTTTGAGCCCCGCGTCGGGCTCTGTGCTGGTGGTGCAGAGCCTGCTTGGGATTCTCTCTCTCTCCCTCTCTCTCTGTGTCCCTCCCCTGTTTATGCTGTCTTTCTCTCTAAATAAGTAGATTTAAAATGAAAATATGTACCAAAATGGAGAACACATGAGCGGTTGTGGTGGAGGGAGGTGGGTATGGTTACAAAAGCCTCAGGGGTCCTTGTGATAATGCGAAGGTTCAGTGTCCCAACTGGGGTGGTGGGTGCAGGAGCCTACACAGAAACGCATGCATGAGTGTGCACACACACCCCCGTCACAAGCACACGAATCCAAGTAAAAGCCGGAAATCTGAAGATCTGTGGCCTGATTGTACCACTGTCGATATCCTGGTTATGCTATTATAGTATTGTTTTTCAAGTTGTTACTATTGGAGGAAACAGTAATGCTACACAGGAACTTTCTGGATTCTTGTAATTGCTCGTCACTCTACAACTATCTCGAAATTAGGGGGGTGGCTTGTAAAAGGCACACACACACTGTCCCAGCCCTCCAGCCCCAGGGATGCTGATGTCTGGTCTGTGGCCGAGCCCGGGCACGTGCAGGTTTTGAGGTCCTCAGGTGAGGCCAGTGGGCAGCCAGCACGGGGAGCCGCCTTTGACTTGAGCTCCAGGGTGGACAGGGCTGGATGGGCCCTCATCAGGCCAACCTGGGTGTTGCCGTGTCCTCCTGGGTCTATGATGAGCGGCCACTTTCTCTGCCGTTTTCCTCCCAGAGATTGGAGGGGTCTGGATCCAACACGGAGGGGCCACTGATGTCACTTGCACCTCCAGGGCACAGCAGGCTCTTGCGGTTGGTGAGGCGAGGGTGGAGGGCTCAGACTAGGCCTGACTCCTGTGCCAGCCTGTAAAACAGGCCCTTCTGGGCCAGCAGCTGGGCCGGGCTGCCACTCTCTGCCACCTGGCCCTTGTCCATGACCAGCACCCTGCAGGAGAGAGGGAAACGGGGAGCCCTTACCAGCCAGTCAGCCTGAGAGCTGCACCACTGAAAGCCCAGCAGTCTGCTCCGGTCAGGTCTGGCCTCCCAAGCGGTTTCCCGACCCCGACAGCCAGTTTGGAAGCATCTGCTGGGCATGTGTCTTTGGGCTCATCTCCTCCCTTCTGGGCATGTTTTGCCACCTGTATAGTGGGCATGTGATAATCCATTCCAGTGTCCTTCCAGCTCTAAATCCCAATGCCTTCTGCTACCGTGGGGGTGGGGTGGGAAGAGGGCCCGCTGCGGGGGCGGGGGGGGTGCTTACCTGGAGCAGGGGGGTATTACCTGGAGCAGTCCATCACAGACTGCAGGCGGTGGGCAATGACCAGCACGGTGCACTGGGCAAACCAGCTCCTGAGGGCGGCCTGCATCTGGAGCTCCGTCCCCGGGTCCACGGCGGCGGTGGCCTCATCCAGGATGAGGATCTGGGTTTTCCGGAGAAGGGCACGCGCCAAACACAGGAGCTGCTTCTGGCCCACGCTGGGAAGGAGCAAGACAGTCAGGCCCGGTGCTTCTTTACCTGCATCTCGGGACTTGCAGGGCCTGCCCACAAAGGTATCCCCGACGGCTGCAGAAGTTAGTGGGGCAGGTAGGCATACTCCTTCGTGAGGGTCCCCAGTCCACAGAGCTGATAGGAATCCCCTTCCTGCCATTTTCTGAGCAGGGCGACTCTAGGTGACACATTCATCCTCCCGTGCCTCAATTCCCCCTCCCCCCCCCCCAGGTGAAATGGCTATTTCCATTTCTACTCTGTGCTCTTTACCTTGTACCAGACATACCCCATGTGCTTATGCGTATCAGGACTCATTTCTCACGGTGACCACAAAGGTAGTTACTGTAGAGTCTTGTGGCTTAGGGTGTGGGGACCAAATAAGCCTATAAAAGTGCCCAACAGTGTGCTTGTCACAGAGTCAGCCCCTAGCACACGGGAGCTTCTCTGACTCTAATTACAGATGGGGAAGTTGAAGCTCAAGGTCACAGTCTGTGAAGCCCTGATCCTGGAGCCGCAAGGCTGTCTGGGACGGCTTTCCTTCTCACAGTGGAGCCTCCCAGCAGCATCTCTGGAGAACCAGGGCCCACTATGGCCACGCCACTGGCGAGCTGGGTGACCCCGGGGCAAGTTTCAAGCCTCATAGGCCACTTCTGCAAAATGAGATTCGTTGAGAGGGCCTCTCTGAGGTTTACAGTGAAAAACTATTCTTCCCTATATCCAGGCACTGTGTCTGCAACTTAACACGTAGAACTCAATCCCCGAGCAGGAAGGAGATACTAGCTATAATTCTGATTTTACAGATGAGGCAAGTAAGGCACAGATGGACTTGCCCACGGTCCTGGCGCTGCTGACTGGGGTAGGCAGGATTTGAAGTGTGTCTAAACTCTTAGCCACAAAGCTACGCTACTTCTCTAGTGTGTGGATGCTATTGCCGCCCACAGCCCCTTACCCTAACGCCTTTGGGGGCAGATGGGTTTTAGAATCCAGAACGTCTTCTTCACAATGTCCAGAATGTCCTAAGTGTCCATCAGTGAATGAACGGGCAAGAAACATGTGCTCTATCTACACAATGGAATATTATTCAGCCTTCAAAGGAAGGAAATTCTGGTAACTGCTGCAATATTGATGAACCCTGAGGACATTATGTTGAGTCAAAGAAGCCAGTCACAAAAGGCAAGTACTGTCATAGTCCACTTAAATGAGGTCCCCAGAGTAGTCAAAGTCATAGAAACAGGAAGCAGAACAGTGGTTGCTAGAGGCTGTGTGCAGGGGAAAATAGAATTCTTTTTAATGTTTATTTTATTTTTGAGAGAGAGTGTGAGCAAGGGAGGGGCACAGAGAGAGGGGCAGAAGGAGCTCCCATGCAGGCTCTGAAGTGACAGCAGGGAGTCTGACACGGGGCTTGAACTCATGAACCGTGAGATAGTGGCCTGAGTGGAAGTTGGATGCTCGACCGACTGAGCCACCCAGTTGCCCCTAGAATTGTTTTTTAATGGGTATAGGGTTTCAGTTTTGCAAGATGGAAAAGTTCTGGAAATGGGTTGCATAATGATGTGAATGTACACTATGAATTGTACACTGAAAAAAAATGGTTAAGATGCTAAATTTTATGTTAGGCATATTTTACCACAATTAAAAAAAATTTTTTTTTTTAAGAGAGAGCAAGAGCGTAAGTGGGGGAGGGTCAGAGAGTAGGGGAGAGAGAGAATCTTAAGCAAGAGCTACATCTCATCGTGGAGCTTGATTCAGGGCTCAATCCCATGACCCTGGAATCATGACCTGAGCTGAAACCGAGTCAGATGCTCAACCACTGAGGCACCCGGGCGCCCCTAAAATTTCTTTAAAAAGAAACACATACCACATGTTACTCAGAACCCACAGTGGGAGTGGAAATAGTGCCCAACAACAAACACAATGCTTCTGTAGCAAAATAGATGCCGAGTGGGATACATAGACTATAAGTAGCCTGTGTCATTTAAAGGTCTGGTTTTGTCACCCACATAAATTTAGGAACTGGATTTAGGAAAAAGAAACGACATTCAGAGACCGTGTGGTGTCTGGAGTTGCTGATAAGGGACGGGACTCACACTGGGCGTATTAACAGAATGAAGCTGATAGCCCCGGGGGGGAGGCGGGTTTCCAGGGCACATCTCCCTGGGGACAGGAGCCCTGGCCACGCCCGCCTCTGCCCGCAGCGCCTCCCGCTCCTGGGCGTGGCGGGGCCAGCGCACCTCAGGCTGTACCCGGGGCCTGTGCACTCCTGCTGCAGCTGGCCCGGCAGGCCGGCCACCAAGGCTCTGAGCTGCACCGTCTCCAAGGCTTCCCAGATGGCTTGGTCCGTGTGCTCCTGCAGCATGTCGAGGTTCATCCGAAGGGAGCCGGGGAACAGGGTGGGGTCCTGGGAGGAGGGGGCAGCGGGTCAGAGCGGCGCCCCCCGTGCCTCCCGCCTCTGCCCCCCTGAGCCCCAGGCCTCACCTGGGGGATGACCGTGATCCGGGACCGCAGCGTGTGCAGCCCCACGTGGGTGACGGGGACCCCGTCGATCCAAATCCCACCCTCGGCCGCCTCCAGGAGCCGCAGGAGGCCACCGGCCAGGGAGGACTTCCCGGCCCCCGTCCTGCCTATGATGCCCACCTGCCAGGGGAAGGGAGGGCGAGGCTCGTTCCGACCGGGTCTGCCCAGCAGCAGGCAGGCCACGGCCCGGAGGGTCCCCGCACGTCTCTGCGCCGTGTTTCCCCTGCATCTGAGATACACACCCATCTATCCATTATCCTTCGAGCATCCATCCATCCGTCCACCTTTCCGTATGTCCGTCCTGTTCCATCCACCCTTCTTTTGTACGTAGCTCTCTGTCTTCTCCTCATCGTGACTCATCTCCCCCCCCAGCCCCCCGTTTTTCTGTCCTTCCCTCCATCTGCCCATCGTTGTTCCCGCCCCCCATCCATCCTCAGCCTTTACTCTGCGTTCTCAATGTCCACCACTGGCTGGAGGTTCTATACTACTATTTGTTACAGAAGTGAATGAATCATGGGGCATCTGCGTGGCTCAGTCGGTTAAGCGTCCGACTTTGGCTCAGGTTATGATCTCATGGTTCGTGAGTTTGAGCCCCGCACCGGGCTCGCTGGTGTCAGCGCAGAGCCTGCTTCAGACCCTCTGTTCCCCTCTCTTTCTGCCCTTCCTCCATGCTCTCTCTCTCAAATATAAATAAACATTAAAATAAAGAAGTAAATGAATCGTGTCACCCACTGTACGACAGGCGACTCTTCGAGGCACCAGGAATACAGAAATGGAGCCCTTGCTCCACAGGGCTCAGGGTCTGCCCTTGGAAATAGTGCACCTGAGCCAACTTCATTTGAATACAGTGTGATGAAAAAGCCGCCTCTATAATCAAACTCTGTACTTGAAGCTACCTGGGATAGGGATTGGTGGGGTAATCTGAGAAGGCTTCATGGTGGAGGCGATACTTAAGTGGAATCTTGAAGGATGAGTAGGAGTTTGGGGAGGGGGAAGATTCCAGGTACCCCCCCCCTCCAGAGGGCAGCACTATGTGCCCACCTGGCCCCGTGAGGCAATGCTCCACAAGTGTTGGCTAAGCCCTGGCAGGGCAGTGCATGAAGACGTGGGCAGGGCCTTGAATGCCAAGCTCAGGAGTCTGGGCTTTAAGGGAAGCTGGGTACAGGTGGAAGGTCTCAAGCAGGGGAATGTCATGCCTGAATAAAGATCACAGGAAAACAGACTAGAGGTGGTTAAATGGGAGGCTGGGGGCTCCAGTGGGGGCCTGGAGCAGTGTAGGGGAAGGCAGGAAGGAAATGCAAGTGGGTAGGGAGTCCACAGGACTAAGCATCTGTCAAATGGCACCATACTAGCACTTCTTCACAGGGTCGTTGTCAGAGTAAAAATGCACGTGATAATGAAAGCACTGGTAAACGTTTCTGTAGCCCTTGTTATGTGCCAGGCACTGTTCCAAGCAGTTTACATGTATTAGCTCAGTGAAACTTTACCAGAGCTCTGTGAGACTGACGTGGTTAATTTCCACTTTACAGATGGAAAAACTGAGATCAAGACATGAAGTGACCTGCCCAGGGTCAGCCGTGGCAAAGCCAGGAACGGAGCCCGTGCAGACCAGAGAAGGTATGTGGGACAGTCAGCCCTCTGCCCCAGCGCTCACGTCAGAGACAAAGAGAAAGAAGGCGGTCAGGGAGACGCCTCCTTAGCCAGGACGCCAAGGTGGGTGGGTGGTGGGTTTCACCAAGATGGCGGCAGGTCTGGGGAAGATGGTAAGTTTGGTTAGGCTGTGGTGGGCCTCAGGGACTTCACACTGAAGTCGAGTATGGAGGAAGCATTTGATGCTCAGGGCCTCGACCCTGGGCGATGCCCACCCCAGGCCTGGCCTCCACGAGGAGGAAGGTGTGGGAGAGCCGCTCACCTTCTCTCCGGCATGGATCTTGAAGGACACACCCCGAACGGCCAGTGGGAGCTCAGGTCCGTATCTCAGCCCAAAGTTCCGGAACTCGATCTGCCCCCCTTGAGGCCAGGGGGACAGATCTGCACAGGTGGGTAGCCGCCAGGGGGCCTGGGACAGCAAGGGGGCACAGGGTCAGAGGAGCCTCTCTCTAAGGGGTCTCACAGAATGGGCCACCTCTTTGAGCTTCAACGCCTCTTCTGTAAAATGGGCGTTATTTATAGCTATTTTACAGAATTGTTGGGGACATTGGAACATAGCAGAGCTAGAAATAAATGATATCTGAGTTATAAAAATAGCGATGGTATTGGCTACTCGATTTTCATCCTTCTTCTTAGCCACTATCAATTGTCAAATAATATTCTCTCTTCCTCTACAAGGGGTAGAATAATATTCTCTCCTTGGTCTATGTGAGGAGGGCAAGATTGTGCAGTAGGGGGTCATTAGCTGCCGTTTGCTCTTCCTGTGACCTTGAAGAGGTCCTCCGTCCCCTTGAGGTGAAATGGGGCCAGTAAGAGCAGTGGACGTGTACAGTGTGCCCGACACCAAGTCCTTTCTCGCGGGATCTATTTGACCCTCGCAGTACACCCCACTGTCGCCTTGCCATGCCACGCTCCTGCTACTGCAGTCTTGCTGTGATGTCTCCGTAATGTGGCTGTCGTGTTGCTATTCTACTGCTATGGCGTTGCTGCTACTTACGGCCCCTTCCCACTCAGAACAATGACCTGCTTTGCCCAAGCAAAGAAGCGAAGGAACCAAGCTTTCCCCTGGCTCCAGCCCCCGCACTCTTAACCATGATTGCCGCCTCCATGTGGGGGCTCTAAAGCCCATAGCAGATGTAGAGCTGGGTCCACACCCCCGTCCCCATCTTCCACCCATCACCTCCTTGGGCGTCTTGACATAGTCCTTCATCCGCTCTACCGACACGATGCTGCTCTCCAGGTCTGTCCAGCTGCGAACGGCCCACTGCAGTGTCTGGGTCACCTGGTGGGGGAAGACACCTCAGGCTTGCATCAGCCACCCTGGGGCAGGGGCTGGGAGGGAGGGGGAGGCAGGACTTGGGACAGACAAGGGGATGGGATTTGACTACAGCCAGCAGGACTTTCCTTCAGTAGAACTGGAGTATGCAGAGTAAAGGAGCTTGTCCAACCCATCCGGATATAGGTGGGAAGATAGGACCAGAGAGGGTGTGCGGCCCTCCTAAGGACACCCAGCAGGACCCAGGCCCACGGACTTCCATTCTGAGAGTTTCTCTCTCCTGATTTCCCATCATTTTGCCTCAATGTAAAATGAAGATAATAATAGTATCCCCGATGTGGTTGTGGGCAGAATTAAATGACTTAATATTTATAAAGCTGTTAGAACAATTCATAAAAAAAAAATGCTACTTACATGTATCTTTCTTCCTTTATAGATATCATGACCCGACATTACATATTGTTATTAATAGTTAACAAAATTTAGCAATACACTGGAAATGGACTCTATGTACCTTATCTCAACTAGGCTTTACAATGTCTGAAGTGAAGAGATTACTGCCTCATTTCTCAGATGAGCACACTGAGGCTCTGCAAGGGAAGACTCTTGCCGAGGTCCCTTCTATATTTTCCTCACTGGTTGGTAGTTTGGACTTGGGTCCTTGAGGTCCTACTAGCTGAGTTCTATCTGTCTTGGGGGAAAGGGGTACCTGGAGGGCGGCGGAAACAGAGAAGCCCACAAGGCCGGCGCTCAGGTGGGCCTTGCTCAGCACAGCACACGTGGCGGCCGCCAACACCAGCACGTTCCCCAGGAGCTCCAGGTTCGTAGCCAGCCACCTGCAAGGGGAGGCAGGTAATAGGATCAGGGTTGGCGGTGGGGGGGGTGGGGGTGGGAGGGGTGGGGGGCTCATTTGCAGGACTCGTTACTCTGGGCACAAGAACTGGTCATTGTACCAACTTGAGTCCCACAGGGGTCCCGGCAATGGTCTCCTCCACACCCCAGGCCCCACCCAAGCTCAGTGGATGGGGAAGTCGATGCCTTTCTGTCTTAGCTGAGCCCAGCTCAGAGCCTGGCACACAGCGGGTGCTCAAGTGAAGTTTTGCCTTGGTGCCGATTTTCTGTCCCTGGGCTATGCTCGGCCATTTCCCTTGGGGTCCCCATGCCTGGACCTGACCTCCGTCTTCACGTGGCCAACATGTTATCTTCATGCATGGGTTGGGTCGAATGTCACCTCCCCCAAAAGCCTTTCTGAACTGCTCCTCCCTTTCTCTCTAACGCGTCACTGATAACTTCCTTCATAACAGTTACCACTCCTTATAATTAGATGATTTAATCAGCCCTTGACCATCAGTCTCCATCAGTAGATTGTGAGCTCTATGAGGGCAGCAGCTTTGTCTCGTTCATGACTCTGTCCCCAGTACCTAGCACAGGGCCCAGCACGTAGTAGGTGCTCAGTGAATAATGAACTGAGTAAATGAATAAATAGGCACCTCCTTCTACTGCATTCCTACTCTATCATTCATTGATTCATTCATTCAACAAACATACTGACCATCTACTGTGTGCCCTGCCTGCTGGGGGTGCTGGGAACACAGTGATCCAGTTTAAGAATCCGTCTTCAGGGAGCTCTGGGCTTTACTACATGAACATCTAGTCCTCCTAATAACCCTACAAGGCGAGGTATTGTCCCCATTTGGCAGATGAGGACACTGGGGCTCAGAAGAGTTAGGTACTTGCCTAAGTCCACTCACATAAAAGCCTTTGAAGCTGCATCACCCTGATGGACGCCCGGAAGCATGAACCTCTTCTAATAGGTCATGACGGTTTTCAGCAAACCAACCAGCAAATGAATACATAAGTTGCTCCCTAGATCATGGGAGGGTCCCTTTGTGCTTTCAACCTCAGTTTGCCCATCTGTGGAATGAGGCAACATCTGGCTCCTTACAGTTGAGAGGATTAAATGAGACCTGCCATATAGACCATGGAAATCACTGGGCCTTGCACAAGGTGGGCGCTTTCTCAGTGTGCACAAGGTCTTTCCTCCTTGGGCTAGGACCCCAGGAAGAGGCAGGGCAGGTCACCCAGAAGGCATATGGGAGTGAGACGCTGCCCACAGCCACACAGCCTGATAGCCTCAGCTGGCCAGGGACCTGGGGCATAAAGGAGAAGGGAATTCGCGTTTTTTGAGCACCTACTGTGTGCTTGGCCCTCTCCACACCAGATTGTCTGGATTCAGATCCTGACTCCACCACTTCCTCGCTGTGCAGCCCTGGGCAAGTTCCTAAATCTCTCTGTGCCTGATTCACCATCTATAAAACAGTCTCTGTCTCATGAGTTGTTAACAGGACTGAATGAATGAATCCATATGGAGAGCTCAGGACTGTGCTGAGCATACAGTAAGCATGTTACAAGTATTTGCTGTGCGTGTATTTAATCCTCACAGCCACCCCATGAATGACACCCGCTTTGACACATGAGGCTCAGAGAGGTATGTAACTTGCCCAGGGTCACCCGGCTGGTAGGTTGCAGAGCTGGGATTTGAGCCCATGTCTGTCTATGCTCCAAGCCTGCATATTCTTGCTTAGTAATGAAAAGAGGCTGAGGATGCTTATGTGGCTGCTCTATCACCAAAGCAACAGAGGCTGATTCAGTGGCCTGGGAACAGAGGCTTCTTCCCTTGTGCTGACATCTGTACTTCCTGCCCGCCTGCTGCTGGGGAGCCCTCAGGCCAGACTCCATCTGCTCGCGGTGCGAGAGCCAAGTGCACCCATGCGGTAGAGCTTCAGCTTTATCCCTGACTTGCTGTGTGACCATGGGGAGGCCACTTGATCTCTCTGGCCACATAGCTGACCCTGCGTCTCACTCTCTGGGAACACGGATGTATTACAGGGTCTTCCCTGCCCCCAAGCTTTGCCTACCTGTCAGCCACCAGGCTTGGGAAACTGACTCTCTGGGTTTCATCCACGTGCATGTCATTCTGAGCCACAAAGGGGCATTGGGCCCGGAAGGCTCTGACCACCGTGATGCCCTGGAACGTCTCGGCCATCTGGGAGCACACGGACGAGTGCCTGGCGGACTCGAGGCGTCTGAGCTGGCATAAGCTGGCCACGTACAGGCTCTGAAGTGGGACAGGTAGGGGGAGAGAAGTCACAGACATGGAGAGGGAGTTTGAGAAGCACAGGGAGCCCCGAGTACAGGCTTTCAGACCAGGCTCTGTTACCAGCTTGCTGTGTGACCTTGGGCTAGTTGATTCCCCTCTCTGGGAATCTCTATTTTCCCTACAGAATCAGAGTTATGTGGTTCTTTTTAAGAAGATCCCAGTGGGGTGCCTGGGTGGCTCAGTCAGTTAAGCATCTGACTTTGGCTCAGGTCATGATCTCATAGCTCATGAGTTCAAGCCCCCCATTGGGCTCTGTGCTGACAGCTCAGAGCCTAGAGCCTGCTTCAGATTCTGCGTCTCCCTCTCTCTGCCCCTCCGCTGCTCATACTTTGTCTCTCTCTCCTTCAAAAATAAACATTATAAAAAATTAAAAAAGAAGAACCCAGGAAGCTCCGAAACCCTCCAGTGCCTCACCCCAAAACTATTAAATCAGAATCTCTGGTGGTGTCACCTTGGCCTTGGTATTTTTTTTTTTTAATATTTTTATTTATTTCTAGGAGAGAGAGAGAGAGACAGCGTGAGCAGGGGAGGGTCAGAGAGAGAGGGAGTCACAGACTGAAACAGGCTCCAGGTTCTGAGCTGGCAGTCAGCACAGAGCCCAACACGGGGCTCGAACCCACGAACCACGAGATCATGACCCAAGCGAAAGTCGGATGCTTAACCGACTAAGCCACCCAGGCGCCCCTTGGCCTTGGTATTTTTAAAAAGCCTTCTGGGTCATTCTAATATACAGCCAGGATTGAGAAACCACTCACCCAGTGTGAGCGTCTCTTTCCCAGCGCTCAGACCAGCCATTGTGGGGATAAAACCATAAAGGACAAGGAAGGCGGTTGGCCAAGTGGAATCCACTCACTTAACTGGAGGCTACCCGCCCGGTGCCCAAATGATCTGTGGGGTTATCTGCTCCGAGGCTGCGAGCTGTGCGCAGGCGGGAAGGATGTGCATCTGCTGAACACCCAGGCTGTGTGCCAGGCTCGTTACAAATAGTGTTTATTAATGTGAGGTGGGCACCAGTGTCCTGCACAGTTTACAGGTGAGAATACCTGAGGCCCAGAGGGATTAAGCAGCTGGCCCAGGCCTCTACAGCAAGCAAGGTGCAGGGCCTGGATTCAGACCCACTCTGCCTGACCCTCAAGCTGTCCCTCCCCAGGTCAAGAAGACATGGAGAAGACAGTGGTGACTGTGGTTTTTGTCTGACTACAATGTTTTTTTCTATTCTATCTCTGATTACCTGGAGTGGGGGTGGGGAGTATTCACCCGTGGGAGCCGATCATGGAGGAGGTAGCGTGATGCAGCCTTGCCAGTCCGAGCACGCTAACCCTTTCGTCACTGTGATTAGCTCAGGGATGGACACAGGCCCCCAAACAGGCTGGCCCAACCTTCCCTGGGACTGATACATGAATGCGAAGCTGGAGTAAAGGCCAGTTTGTGTTGGGGTTGCTGAGGGGGATGCTGTGAGGATAGGGCTGCCACAGACCCAGCCCTAGATAGTGTGTGCAAAATCAGGCCATCCAGCGCTAAAGCCCATGGTTCTTAAACATTAGTATGCATCCAAATTATCTGGAGGGTTTGCTAAATCCCAGATTTCTGGGCTCCATTTCCACTGTGTCTGAGAGTTGGTAGGTCTCGGGTGGGGCCTGAGAACGTGCATTTCTAACTAGCTCCCAGGTGGTCCTGATGCTGCTGGCCTGCGACCGCACTCTGAGATCCGCTGAACCAAGAGACGGAGAGAGTGACTGCGTCCCCGTGACAACTGGCTCATTGCACTTGAGGAATGTAAGATGTTAATTTCCGTCCTTTTGTTTAAGCTAATTTAAGTCCGGCTCTGGCAACTGCAAGAGTCAAACCTGATACAACACCTTGAGACCTCGCAGTGTCTTCCTGGTTTCCAGATAACCGGAGAACGGGAAGCTGATGTCAGCAGCAGCAGCGGGACGAAATGTAAGAACTCAGACACGGACATTTGGAAGACAGTGGTGAGTAACAGGTATTAGAAATAAACTGCGGTGGGCCGCCTGGGTGGCTCAGTCGGTTGAGCGTCCGACTTGGGCTCAGGTCATGATCTCACGGTTCGTGGGTCCAAGCCCCGCGTCGGGCTCTGTGCTGACAGCTCAGAACCTGGAGCCTGTTTCAGGTTCTGTGTCTCCCTCTCTCTCTGACCCTCCACTGCTCACGCTCTGTCTCTCTCAGAAATAAAGAAAACATTTTTAAAAATTAAAAAAAAAAAAGAGAGAAATAAACTGTGGTGTCTGCCTCTGGGAATTCTTCTAAGGGTTCATCCACTGTGCAGAACCTCTTATGCCAAATGCTGCCCAGATACGAGAGCCTGGCTGAGGGGACCGAGCTGGCCCCAGGGGCCCCCCCAATCTCGCCCTACCTGAAACCCAGCATAGAGGACCAGCAGCGGCACGATGGCGACAACGGCCAGCGGGGTGGCCACCGTCACCACCAGAATGACCTCCAGGAGTTCAAAGGCATAAATCAGCAAGGACCGGAGTTTGTCTGGGATGTCCACATCTACTGTGTCCGTCTCCTTGGAGAAGCGATTCAGCAAGTTCCCAATGGGTGTCCGCTCAAAGAAGCCAACGGGACACCGTGCCACATCCCACAGGAGCCTCCGGAAAAGCAGGCTGGATGCCCGGATTCCTGCTAGCAGCACCATGGCCATGGAGGCAAACAGCCCAATGGCTGGAGAGAGAGCCGTGCGTCAGAGCATGAGAGCTGAGGCCCCTGGCCGTCATGGGTGTCCCTTGATGGGACCCGCCTGCAGTGGGTTGGACGGTGTGCCCCATCCTGCAAACTCATGTCCACCAGGAATCTCAGAATGGGACCTTATTTAGAAATACGGTCTTTGTAGCCGTTTTCATTGAAAGATCTTGAGATGGTAACACCCTGCACGTAGGGCAGGCTCTAAATCCAATGGCTAGTGTCCTTGGAAGAAGAGAAGACATCCAGGACACAGGGACGGAGGTGATATGAAGACAGAGGCACCGAAGGGGAGGATGTGCGAGACCCCCAGCAGAAGCTAGGAGAGGGGCAAGGGACTGTTCCCCCGTCAGAGCCCCCAGGAGGGACCAATCCTGCCGATAGCTTGTCTTTGGGCTTCTGGCTTCAGGACGCCGAGAGATTTAGTTTCTGTTGTTCTAAGCTACCAAGGTTGTGGTCATTCCTGTCAGCCCTAGGAAACTGATGTACCCCTTCCTCCCAAAGCCCTTGTGCTTGGACTGGGGCTGACCTCACCCCCCGTTTCTGCGGTGGGGCAAATTGTATCCCTGGCCCATCCAAACCACTGCAGTTGGTCTGTTCCCACCCAAGTCCTCAGCTGCCCCAACATCTGGGGGCCAAGATTCTGCATTTGCTGAGGGGTCTGGCACAGACCGAAGATTCCAGAGAGGAGGGATGTGCCCTGTCCCCTACTCCCTCCAGCCTTATCTAAGGATGCATCTCTGCACTTAGGCCCAGGATGTGTGCACAGATGTCCAGGAAGGACAGGGTGAGCCAGGGACGGGCAGCCAGGAAGTCCTGAGCACCTGGGATGGGGCTGGGGGGGTGGAGGGTGAGGAAGGCTGGCAGGCGGTACCTTGGAGGCAGCCCAGGAGCCCGAAGACCCAGCCCCGCAGAGCCGCCTGCGTCTGTCGCCCGTCCACAGTGGGGTCGTCTGCCCACAGGCTCAGCCAGTAGTTGCGGCAGAAGGAGGCCACTTGCTGGCAGAGGAAGAGGAAGAATGCGTAGAGGCACAGTGGGGCACCTATGGCCCGTAGGTAGGTCAGGTGCATGCTGGCCTTCACCTGTAGCACAGGTAGGGGAGGTGGGGCAGAGAGAGGCCCCGGGGAGAAAGGAAGGGAGGAAAGGCCAGGTGAGGCTCTCAACAGGGTGGACGGAAGCACGATGCAGACCTTGCCTGTGCTCCTTCGGTCCCTACCACCTGGAGCACCAGCTCTCCTACGGGCCCCACGCAGCCTCAAGACCCCCTTCCTCTGCAGAACCCCCAGAGGGCCAGCGGGAGCCTTAAAGCCGTGGCACGCTCTGGCTTTGGTGTGACTTACTGAACACATACTACAGCACAGACATGTGTCCCTACCCCCATCATAACTCCCACCTGGCAGATAAGGAAACAAAGGCACAGAGAGGTTAAGACACCTGCTCACGGTCCAGCTCCCACGAATCTGAAGTTCTTCTGGAAACATCTGGAAACTTCTGGAAACATCATCCTGACCCCATCTGGCTGTTGCTGACCTGCTCATGGCTTTCTCTGGCTCTCAGAAGAAATTCTAACCTTCCAGTCTGTCTCTCTGACCTTCTCTCCTACTCAGTATCTGCTGGCCTCATGGGATCCCTTTCTTTTCTCTGGTGTCCCAAACTCCTTCCCACCTCAGGGCCTTTGCGCCTGCTGTTCCCTCTGCCTGGAATGCCACCCCCCCCCTCCATCAGCTGCTGGTTCCTCTCTTTAGGGCTTAGCTCAAGCATCACCCATTAGAGCATATTAATCCAAGCAGGTTCCTGACCCTCAGTTGGTTGGTCCTATCTCATTTCCCTTCTTTATTTTTTTAATCATTATCTGATATTACCTTGCTCATTAGCCTAATTATTTGCTGACTGTCTCCCCCAACTAGTGTGCAATATCCACCAAAGTAGAGACACTGCCTGCATATAGTAGGGGTTCTGTAAATGTTTTCTGGGTGGATGGGTGGGCGGGATGCTGGATGGTTGGGTGAATGGGTGAATGGAAGGGTGGACAGGTGGGTGGATAAATAAATGAGTGAGTCTGTAGAAGAGCAGGTGGATACATGAGTGGATGGATGGATTCTGGAAGGATGGATGGATAAGTGGGTAGATAGATGGGTAGATGGATGGATACATGGAAGATGGATGGATGGATGGATGGATGAATGGATGGATGGAAGACGGGTAGATGGATGGATAAGTGGGTGGATGGATGCATACATGGAAGATGGGTGGATAGATGGAAGATGGGTAAATGGATGGGTGGGTGGATGGATGGATGGATGAGTGGATAAGTGGGTGGATGGATGGATGGATGGATGGTAGGTGAATGGGTGAATGGCTGGATGAGTGAATGGGTGAGAGGTTGGGTGATGGATAGATGAGTGAGTAGATGGGTAGGTGGTTGGATGGGTGAGTAGGATGGATGGGGTGGGTGGTGAATAAGTAGAAAAGTAGGTAGACAGAGGAATGAACAAGTAGGCAGCTGAGTGGATGGGTAGACAAAGCATCATAGAAGAAAAGAAGTAGCACAAAGTTTAGATTCTGACTGACCTAGATTTAAGCCCCAGGTTGGTCCCTTACTAGCTATGAGAACACAGAAAAACTCTCTAAGACCTCAATTTCTTCACCTCTAAAATGGGGCTATCACCATCTAATTTTAGGGTGATTGTGAGCTTTAAGAAATGTGAGGTGTCGGGGCACCTGGGTGGCTCAGTCGGTTAAGCGTCCGACTCCGGCTCAGGTCATAATCTCATGGTTCGTGGGTTTGAGCCCCACGTCAGGTTCTGTGCTGGCAGCTCAGAGCCTGGAGCCTGCTTCAGATTCTGTGTCTCCCTCTCTCTCTGTCCCTCCCCCGCTCATGCTCTGTCTCTGTCTGTCTCAAAAATAAATAAAAACTATAAAAAAAATTAAAAGGAAAAAAAGGAAATGTGAAGTGTCTACAGTCCAACCTGGCACACAGTAGGTGTTCAGTAAAGTGAGTCTCCCCTTGCCCCCCTGCCCTGCACTGTATCTGATGGGGGGTCTTGAGCCCTGCTGTGGGAGTGGACGCAGAGCAGAGGGGGCAGCTGGTGGTTACCCTGCCGTGCTGGACGCCATCCTCTCCTGTTGACCATCCTGCCCATGCAGGGTCATCCAGGGGAGCTCCTGGCTGGGCCTTTGAAGGGACGCTGTCCTTCTCAGAGACCAACATCATGGGCCTGTCATTGAGAGGAGATGAGGACACATCAGTGTCTCTGTCCACGGGCCGTGGCACCCAACCCTCATGGCCACTGGTAGCCAGTGAGCATGACATACACTCTCCACTCGTGCATTCATTCGCTCACTCATACAGCCCGCATCCGGGGCACTCTCCCTCCACGGTGGCCCGCCAAGTGCCACCTCTTACCCCAGAGGCGAGGAAGCCTGTTCTCCTGGTGCCGTTTCATTGAGTGAACTTATCTGCCCCGCTTTGGAAAGTGTTTTTCAGAGTTTTCGTTTTGGCCTCAGCATTGCTACAATCATTATACCCCTGCTGTTTACCCTTAGATCTGTTAGTCCAGCTTGGGAGAGTGTCAGTTTTGTGCAATTCAAATGTTGAGGACTTCTTGGATGTTCCTTCTGTTTGCGGATGAGTGGGCTGCCTTAACTTTAAATGTGAATTGCCATCTGGTGTCTGTGCCTCAGTTGCTTCAGCTGTAAAATGGGGTTAGTCTATGTCTGTCTGTCTAGCTACCAATCCATCGCTTTCCCCAGGGATCAAGGTCCCCCACTAGTCCCCCAACAACTGTCACTTAAACTCATACTTATGTCCACTGCCCAGTGGTCTGCTGTTTGGTTTTACAAAGTCACTTTCCATAAAAGGGGAAGGTACCAGGTGCGTGGGTCCCGGGGCAGCAGACAGCCCCACAAGGAGTCCAGCCATGGCCTGTCTAGAAGGGGCTGGAGACCCGGGGACAGCAGGGCTCCTGGTGACCCCCACCCGTGTGCTCTGGCCTGCCCCCAGTGATCCCACGCATGTAGACTCAAGCCCTTTGTGTAGCAGGCCTGTCAAATGACGAACGACAGGGCCGGGCACATCATTAACAATACGGCACGGACCCTTCTCTGGAGCCGGCCCTGCCCCTCTCTGGCAATGAGGCAGCCTGGCAAACTTGAGGGCATTCATCATATCTGAGGGCAAACTGGTCATCCTGTGAACTGGCCACATGAGGACTTATTCATTTTGGCTAATTGATGGTCACAGAGCTTTCGGTGAGTCAGCCCGCCCCTAAGCCTCAGGGCGGCCCCAGCAGCTGTGGGTCCAGAATGGTTTTGGCTGCCCTCACCTGCCCGCGCCACGGCTGCGGACACAGCAGTGCTTCTGCAGCCTCAGTCTGCGCCCTCCCCGCCGATCAGCACCGCAGCGGACTCACCTCTCAGGTCCACCCGCGGGCCTCCCGCTTCTGGAGGGGCCTCTGGGGTCCTTGGTATCAGTCGTGAGTTCTGTTTCTGCAAGGTTAAAGGGGTCTTGTCACGTGATGGGCGCCAGCATTCGGGGTCCAGGCGCTGGCGTTGACAGCCACGGGCTATATGGCCTTCACTTGTCTGAGCATCTGTTTCCCATGATCTGGCTCCTGCAACCTCTCTCAGTCCCCGCTGGGTTCTTCCAGAACCGTTATTCATTGAATCATTCATTCATGCATTTGTTCACTCAGCAAATATAATTGTGCACCTGCTATGAACGTGGGGCTGGAAAACAGTAGCAAACACTGTGTACGGTAAACCTGTCCGGTGTCCCCCGATAGCCTTGCATGAGCAGTTTCTTGTGTCTGGAATGTTCTTTTCCAGGTAACTCCCACCCAACCTCAGGGGTCACCTTCCTCAGGAAAGACCTCACCTCTGACCATCCTCCAGGTCAGGGGGGCTCCATCTTCAAGCTCCAGGATGGAGACACTGTGAGTCGACGCTTAGGACTTCTCAGGGTGAGCCAGTGTTCAACAGATGTTTTCAGAAAAGGGAGAGCCTGGGGCTGGGGGCACCTGGCTGTGAGTCCTTGCTTGTTCACGGTGGCAGGGGTGGGGGGAGAGCAGGGAGACAGCCTACAGCCGACTAATGAAAGAGCGCATGCTCTGCGGTCAGGTTGCTTGGGTTCAAATCCCAGCACTGCCACCTATAAGCTGTGTAAACTTGGGCTAGTTCCTTCACTTCTGGGCCTCAGTTTTCTCAGCCGTTAAATGGATGTAATTATAGCACCGACCACACAGACGCACTTAGCACCATCCTTGAAGGTGTCACTGGCTCTGCCTTGGAGAATTGGGTGGCCTCTTCAGAGAGCTCTCTGCCTCCAGGCCTGGGCCCCCACGAAGGCTGTGGCCAGAGCCTTCTCCTCAAGAGGGGACAGGGGCCGCAAGCCCAGCCCATACCTCCATCTCCTCTATCTCCTGGCCTTCTGGCTGCATCCAGAAGGCCCACCAGGGCCCCCTTTCTGTGTAGAAGCTCCTGGAAGGAACCCATCTCTGCAATGGCTCCGTCTTCCAGCACCACGATCCAGTCAGCCTGGGGCAGGATGTGCAGCGCGTGGGTCACGAGAATCCGTGTCTGGGCACAGAAGAGGTAGAAGTTACACTGGTGTGCGTGACCGGTCACCCAGAGCTGGGGGCTTAGGGGCAGGCAGTGTCCTGGGGCCATGTGTGGGAAGAGCTCCCCTTCTTGCTCTCCTGCTCTTTTTGTCTACGTCCCAAGAGAGAAATAAGGAGCTTCTTCACCCTGTGTCCTGAAACAAGTAGACACAGGGTTCCCCTGAACCTGGCCGGTGACCTGAGGAAGAGCTGGAGTAGTTTAATCGCAGACCCGTGAGCAAGAAGTAACTGCTGTTGCAAGCCACGGAGATTGGGGGTGTGTTTGTTAGGCAGCAATGTCAGAGCAAAAGCTGACCACTACAAAGAGGAAACCTGGACGTGAGGAGAGCGGTTGGGTTAGGGCTTCCCCTGCCTTTGCCCTGTGAACTTTGACACGTTTTCTCAAACGTACTGTTTCCCGGAGCAGCCCGCCGGGCCCGATGACCTGGTTGAAGACCTGCTGGCCGACGTGGGCGTCCAGGGCCGCCAGGGGGTCATCCAGCAGATACACAGCGGCCTTCCTGTACACTGCGCGGGCCAGGCTTAGCCGCTGTTTCTGGCCCCCGGAGAGATTCATGCCCTGTGGCCACAGGAGAGGGCCCGGGGCCTGGGCTCACATCATGCTCATCAGAGTGAGGGTCAGCTTCCAGGTTCAAACACTTGATCTCCCCACCAGCCTCCACCCAGCCTCGCTTCCCCCCTGCCAGCCAAGCTTCCCGGGGAAGCTACGTTCCCTCCTCCCACTCACTTCTCCTTGAGTCTGGCTTCTGTTATCATTTCTCCACCGAATAATAGTCTTCCTCAGGGACACCAGGCACTTCCCTTTGCCCAACCCAGTGGTAACCTTTCAGTCCTTATTTTCTTTCTCTCCCTCCCTCCCTCCCTCCCTCCCTCCCTTCCTTCCTTCTTTCCTTCCTTCCTTCCTTTCCTTCCTTCCTTCCTTTCCTTCCTTCCTTTCCTTCCTTCCTTCCTTCCTTCCTTCCTTCCTTCCTTCCTTCCTTCCTTCCTTCCTCCTCCAGACCCCCTCCTGGGCCCTTTCCTCTTCTCTCCAGGAAACCCACTCATTGCCTTAATGGTAGCTCTTAGTTTTTCACTATCAATGGCTTAATCCAGAGGCAAGCAAACTTTTTCTGTAAGGGGCCAGACAATAGCTATTTTAACCCCAGTCTCTGCTCCTGTCATGCAAAAGCAGCCACGGACTGCCGCTGAATGCATGGGTGTCACTGTATTCCCATAAGACCTCATTTAGAAGGATACATGATGGACTGGACTTGACCTCTGGGTCATACTGTGCTGAACCCTGCCCCATCTCCAGTTCCAGATGCATAGATCCTGTCTGTTGGATGTCTCTACCCCAGACCCTTTGGTGAAGCCCAGAAGGGAGAAGCTCTTTGAGCAATGTCACCCAGAAAAGCAGGGCAGGGCAGGCCAGGAGCCCCGGTCTCCTCACTCCTAGTCGCTGAGAGCCCCTCGCCGCCAAACCCCGCCACATCTCTCTGCCTTTGTCTCTATTTTCAATCATTCAGTCATCAACAACTATTTATTGAGCACTTACTACGTGTTTGGCCCTGAGCCACACTTGCTGTCTGTCCCATTTTCTTGTCTCTTTTTGTCCCTCCCACCGTGTGGCCCACACGCCAGTGAGACGAATGGCCAAGGGCGCCAATGCCTGTCCACCACGAGAAGGCCCTGAACCTCACCTGCTCCCCGGTTTTGGTGTGGACCCCTGCGGGGAAGCTGCACACGTCCGGCCACAGGGCACAGGCCTGCAGGACCATCTCCAGCCACACGGGGTCCAGCTCCTGCCTGAAGCACACGTTCTCTGCCACGGACGTGTTCTGGACCCAGGCCTCCTGGGGCACGTAAGCCACGGAGCCCTAAAATACAACTCGCTTCGGCTAAGAGGCTGATCGGGATGGGGCCAGGGGCGGTTTTGAAGTAGGAGTGGGGCGGGGCGAGCAGGAGAGGGGAGGAGGGGGCAGGAAGTGAGGGAGGAGGGGGATGTTGCGGCGGACGGTGGCGGGGGTGGGGGGGCAGCCTCACCTTGATGGTCACGGATCCCTCCACCTTTGACAGCTCCCCGAGGAGGGCGGAGAGCAGAGAGGACTTCCCTGCCCCCACCGCACCCACCACGGCCAGCAGTCGCCCCTGGGGCACAGTGAGGTTTATCCTGGCAACACAGGAGGGGAGGTGTGTCCCGGCGCAGGGCCCAGTGTGGGAACTGGTGAGCCCGACAGAGCCGGCCTCTCCGGGTGGCGGCCCATCCTGAGGTCGCTGTGGGTAAGTGTGAGCTGTCCTTCCCTCTCACAGTCCCCGTCCAGCCCTATTGCCCCGCACACGTGCACAGTCACATACACACGTGCACAGTCCCACAAGCACACACGTGCACATGTGTGCACACACGTGCACAGTCCCACACACGTGCACACACACATGTGCACAGTCCCACAAGCACATGTGCACACGCACACGTGCAGTCACACACACATGCACAGTCCCACAAGCACACACGTGCACATACACACATGTGCACACACATGTGCACAGTCCCACTAGCACACACGTACAGTCACACAAGTGCACAGTCACACATGTGCACAGTCCCACTAGCACACACGTGTACAGTCACACATGTACAGTCACACAAGTGCACAGTCACACATGTGCACAGTCGCACAAGCAAACACGTGGAGTGCACGCAGGCATTGGCCCCCCACACACAGGCACACTCCGCAGTCATACACACACACACATGCATGCCATGCATACCACACATGTGCAAACATGAGGACACATGGACATGTGTACGCACACACAACGCATGCACAAGTGCACACACATTCACGCACACACACGCTCACGTCTATATGTGCACACACCTGCACGCACATATGTGCACCTGCAGACACGTGTGTACACACACACACACACACACAGAGTTTACTGTGGCAGGAGGGCCGCCTGGCCCCTTGTCCAGGGTGTGCAATCAGCCCCTCACCACCCCCTGCTCTGGCCTTGCACTCCACCCCTGCTCCTGTGCTGTGGCCCATCCCCCACCCTGTGGCCAGAGGGACCCGTTAAAACCCCAGTGGGCTCATGACACTCCCTCCCGAAGTCGCTAGTGGGTCCCCTCTCACTCAGGATGAAAGGCTAAGTGTCCCGACAGTTCGTGAAGTATGTACTCCGACTGTGCGCTCCCTTCCGGCTCCGCCTCAGCCACACCCGCCTCCTGCTTCCCAAAGACAGTAGGCCAGTGGTTCTCAAGTAGGAGGTAGTGTGCCCCTCCCCAGGTGTCACTTGTCACAGCGGGTGGGGGCTGCTGCTAGAAGCTAGTGGGCAGATACCGACGGCCCTGCTGACCACCCTGCAACGCACAGCATGGCCCCGACAACAAAGACTTCTCCAGTCCCCAACGTCAATAGTGCTGAGGTGGAGGAACCTTGATCTAGGTACACTCCTGCCTCAGGACCTTTGTACTTGCTGTCCCTACCACCTAGCAAGCTCTTCTTCCAGACACGTGCAAGGCTCATTCCTTCCCTTTTTGAGGGCCTCACCACACATGCCCTGCCCTTGATGTCATACCCTTACCCTGATTTCTCATTTGTATGCCCCCATCTCGTCGGCCCCAAGAAAGCAGGGCCCTCAAGTGTTTCCTTCACTCTGTCCCCAGCGCCTACAGCAGGGCCGGGCACACAGCAAGCGCTGAATACATACTACGAAGGGAGGGAACGACAATCGATATAAACACTGCCCAGGATGTTTTCTTTGTTCTGCCACAGAGACCTCCCCCCCACCCAAACTGGGGGCTGCAGGTGTCAGTGAGCTGGGGACTAACAGAGGAGAGAGAGGAGCAGACAGGCTGCTGGGGCTGGGGTGGGGGCGCCCCTCGGCTAGGCCTCCCCGGGTGTCATCTTGGCCGGGGTGGGGAGCAGGGGGCGGCTCCTCCCCGACCAGGGAGGCTGACTGACTGTCCCGCCGTCCGCAGGAGTCTCGCTCTCCCCACACTCTCTGCCGGGGCCGGCTCCGCCGATCCCCTGGCCACACGGCACCGTCAAGCCCACCCCGCAGCCCCCGGCGGGAGGCCAGCACCGGCTCTGCCGCAGAAACTGCCTGTAGCCTCTCGCGCCCTCCTCCGGTCCACGGGACGCCGGGCTGTACCTGTGCAGGCAGGGGCTGCCTCCTCGGGACCAGGCGAAGGTGCCGTCGTGCACGCTGATGCAGGTGTCCCCAGCAGCTGGGGGGAACCAGACAGCCCGTGCGTGGGGAGTCCCATCACACAACGGGGCCCCACTTTATTTCCCAGCCGGACGAACACGTCGCCGTGTTTATCCCCTTGCACTTCCCGCACGGGGGCGAGGACCTGGGCTGCTAGAGCGTTCGCGCCCGTAACCCGGAGCGACGCACCGTCACTGGGCATGGGTACCGCTGAGTGACCGCAGTGTCACCATGCCCGTTTCCATGCTACATGGCTGATGACCTCATGTGCACGTGTCATCCTGTCACTGGAAGCCCCAGCTGGGACCCTGGCATTTGGTCAGCACCCCTCCCCCGCTCCCGTCGAACCCTGCACTCACAGCATCTGGAGGGACTCGAGTCCACAGCCCCAGGGTCAACTTCTTCCAAGCAGAGGAAGGCGGCCAGACGGTCCAGGGACACACGGGCCTGGGGAAACCAAAGCCCCAGGTCACTGGTGTCCAAAGGGCAAAAAAACGAACCCAGGCTTCAGGCGTCTGGTGCCTTGGGATGTGGAAGAGCTTCAGGTCGACCAAGTCTGAGGCGTTTGCAAAGCTCTAGCACGAGGCTACACATCCAAACTGTACATGGATGGTGACGATGATGGTGACGACTTCCCGTCTCCTCAACTCTGATTAACATCACAGGGACAAGGGGACTGCCCTCTGCACATCAGACCCAGGAAGAAGAGGGTGGCTTTTCCAAGGGAGTCATCAGATCACTATTGGAAATGGTTCCAGACTCTCTGCACCACAGCCCTAAAACCATCTGTGGAGACTAAAGGGGCGGCCATTTAAATAGGGACACCTCAGGGCGCCTGGGTGGCTCAGTCAGCTAAGGGTCCAACTTCGGCTCAGGTCATGATCTCGTGGCTCATGAGACCAAGCCTCGCATCAAGCTCTGTGCTGACAGTGCAGAGCCTGCTTGGGATTCTGTCTCCCTCGCTCTCTGCCCATCTCCAGCTCGCACTTTCTCTCTGTCTCAGAAATAAATAAAATCGTCGAAAAAATTTAAATAGGGACGCCTCAGCCAGGCAACGTGCTCTCCTTTCTACCACACCAAGGCGGCAAGGTGTGAGCGGAGGCAGGGAAGGGACTAGAAATCAAAGTGCTTTGTAGGACAGGAGAGCAATCCTTGTATCGCCTGCCTCCCCCTCCCTCCTCTCTCCCTGCCCTGTCGGTCCACGGTCCTCCCCTGGTCCTCCCCTCTGCGGGCGGTGTGGCGATGCACAGTCAGGGCGCTGCCTGCTTCACCCCTGCAGGGCTCCACCCAGACGGCCCCCCCGCCCCCGCCCCGGCCGCCTCACCCGGACCACAGAGTCGATGGAGAAGGGCAGGAAGCCCTGAGCCTTGTTGAGGATATTGAGAACCACGAGAGTCACAAACGCTTTCTCGGCATCCATGGCATTCTCCTCGGCTACCAGCGTATGGATGGCAAACACCACCAGCGCGACCTGGGGACACACGGGCGGTGACGATGAGCCAAGGGCAGGGCCTGGGAACCTGGGGAGGTATGGCATCTCCAGGGGCCTGTGTGGCCAAGCCCGCCATGTTGGAATGTTCCCGTCCACCGGGTTCTCACCGTAAATTCTGCTACCCGCCCCCAGGCCGCACCCCTGGTTCACAAAGCTGTTTCTCTGAATACACGAGTGTATTAGTGAGTGGGGTTGTATGTGCAGCCCCTGTACCAGGAGAAGTTCTTGGTCTCAGGCATCTGGGGACACTGCAGCGTTCGACTGGGAAGCATTTGGGAGGTTTAGGCTTGGGTGGGATTGCGGTTCTAGAAATTCTTGGAGACGACCCTGAAGCTGCGCGAATCAGCAGCACTTGAGAGCCTTGGGAGTTGGTGGCATTTGTGGTTCTAGATGTCACTAGGGGTAGTTCAGTCCTAGGTGTCACTTGGTGGTGATATGATGGTCACTTGGTGTGCTGACCACTCTACACCGTGGCCACTTAATGTGACAGTCAACTTGGTGTGATGGTCACTTATGGTCATTCCATGACGGTCATTCGGTGTGATGGTCACTCTGATGGCCACTTAGTGTGACAGTCATTCGGTGTGACGGTCACTCAGTGCGATGGTCACTTATGGTCACTCGGTGTGATGGTCACTCGGTGTGATGGCCACTTAGTGTGATGGTCACTCGGTATGATGGTCATTCTATGCGGTAGTGACTCAGCAATCCTATCTGGGGAGCTCTCATGTTTGTGAGCGATGCTACTTGTGGTTCTCAGGGTTGACTGTGTCGGTGACTCCAGATGGTCCCAGGGGGAGCCTAATCCTTCTGGAAACAAGTGATTAAGGCCCTCCTGCATCAGCCGTGAATGTCTGCTGAGGAGTGTGGATTATTCACTTATGCAGCAGTGAGTCACTGCAAGTCTGTGTGCTGCCCCGCACGATGAAGTCACGGCCGGCCGTGCACGAGGAAGGCTGATCCGGCAGCAGTGTGTGAGATCGCGGGGGAACTGGACAGGCACCGGGGCCAGTGTGGGCAGTGGGGGGCGGGGGGGCACTATGGCCATCCGACAGCCGGCATCGGTGTGGATGGGGTTCTCCCTCTGAGGAACCTGCTCGCCAGAAGCAGCAACAACAGTTCCAGATGCTGGAACCTTCTACAGGAGAATGGGAGACCTTATCAGCCACTACCGCCTTCAGGATTAGCTCACTCAGCATGAAGCAAGGATCTCTGGCTGGGAAGGATCCAGGAAAGGTATGTTTGGATGGACAGCGTGGTCTGCAAAGAAAGGCTCCCGGATCTGGGGCATCGGGGGGCTCTGCCTGCCTCGTCCCTTCCCCAGGACTCCCTCCCTCCATCTGTGCTCTACAGAGAGGTCAGAGTGAGCTCACCAGAAACGTGGACACTCGGAAGGACACGAGAGACACAGAGAAGAGGAGGCTGGAGGTCCTCAGGGCGCCCAGCTCCCGGCCCCGGATGTGCAGCACTCTTTCTAGAAAGGCTTCCTCCCAGCCGTGGGACTTGACCATCTTCACATTCCTGATGATGCAGCTGGTGAGCCGTGCCCTAGAGTCTTTCTGCCTCATGTGCTCTTCCTGGTACCGGAGGGAAGAAGAGGGGAGAGGTCAGGGAAACATTTAGAATTCTCCTTCCCCCAAACCATCACACCCCACCTTCAGCAAAGGCGGTTGATTCCACAGCAGGTCCCAGGCTGTCTGCCTCTCAGTATCCCTGTCCCCACAGTCCTGGCCCAAGCCACGGTCATCATGCACCTGGACCACCGCAGGCGAGGCGCCTTCTCCCTCCCACCCCCGAGCTTCTGCCCTCATTGTGGGCGAGATGATGCACCATCACAGAGGGACAGAGGGAATCTTCCAAACACCAGGGAGGAGGTGGGGGAGGCGGAGCCCCGGCTCGGCCTGGGTGCGGTGCCACAGGGAAGGCTTCCTGGAGGCGGGAGTGACCGTGAGCTCTGATGAGGAGGTGCTGAGTGCGCAAATAGGTGGGTGAGGTGGACGAGGAAGATGGAGGGGACAGCACAATCCAGAGATGGGCAGTGTGGTCAGAGAGGGTGGGGGGGCTGCGAAGGGCGGGAGGCAGGCTGGACCACGTTGGGCCTTGGCAGGCAGGCAGAAGAGTCTGGGGGCCACCGTGTTCCACCGAGGAGGGGCGCTGTCACAGGGGCAGGTGTGGAGAATGTCTCAGGGGAGGCCACACAGGCGAGGAGACACAGTCTATGTGGGACCTACGTTCCTCCCTCCCTCCGTCCTCCCGAGTAACAAGCACTGTTCTAGATGCTGAGACTGCATCAGTGCATGGTCCCTGCTGCTGGGAAGCTTGCAGTCTAACGAGAGTGAGCGCCAGGGGCATCTGGCGAGCGGCACGGAAGCAAACGGGCAGGCCAAGTTGACCAGCAGGTGCATATGGAGGGGGGGGGCGTGCCACTGTCACCAGGGCTCTGTGAGGGGGGAGACAGGGATGTCTGGGGGGTAAAGGAGCTCCAGGCAGAGAGCACCATAGGAGCAAAGGCCCTGAGGGGGGTGTGAGGGTTAGGGGAGGGCAGAGAGGCAGGGGGCGGGGCCCGATCACAGCTGGCCTGGGGGCCACCCGGCTCTGACTCTCGGGGAAATGCGAGCCACTGTGGTTCTGAGCAGAGAGGGGTGACGAGGGCAGGAGCGGGGAGCCAGCGAGGGCGGAACGGGGCAACATTCTGGGCGCATCCGCTGAGGGATGGCGTGCGAGAACGAGAGGCGTCCAGGCTGACCCATGGTTGGCGTGTGGCCCAAATGCCGGAGCAGCCGTCCACTGGGACGGGGCAGCGGGGGGAAGGCAGAGCTCCAAGTGGCCAGGAAGGCTCGCGCCTCCAGATCCTCCCTCCCCTCCTCATCTCCCCGCACCTGCACCGACAGACCCGTGACGTGCAGCCCGCCCTCCCCGCTTCCCGCCCAGTGTGTCCCTTCGCCCAAATGCCAAACCTGATGCTGTTTCCTCTTCTTGGTGATGAAGAAATTCAGAGGGAGGAGGCTCAAGAAGACAGCGATGGCAGTGAGGGCAGAGGGTCCTAGAAGCTGGAGACAGAGAGGGTGGGAGGTCACAGGCCACCTCCGGGAGCCCAGCTGAACACACCAAGGGGTGTGAGGGCTCGTGTCCTAAGGCAGGGTATCCCAGGGAAGCTGACGGGGGCAGCCAGCGGCCACGTGCTGAGGGTACTCATGCTTCTAGAGAGTGCACGCCTGGCCCCAGCGGTGAAGTCAGGTCTCCGGAATCAGGGTCTGAGTTCAAATCCTGCCCCTGGCACTGAATGGTGTGGCCTCGCGCAAGCTACTTAACCTCCGTAAGCTGCAGTGTCCTCATCTGTGAAAGGGAAATCCAGCCCTGCACATCACCTAGAATAAGTGCCCGGGTCATAAATCGTTAACCTAGTCTTCATCTCACCCTGACAAGGTTGCCAGATTTAACCAAAAAACGTACAGGATGCCCAGGCAAATCTGAATTTTTTCAGATGAAATAGCAAATGACTTTTTAGTATAAGTATATCCCATGCTATATTTGGGATATACTTATACTAAGAAATTATTCGGTTTCTCTAAAATTCATATTTAACTGGACGTCCTGTATTTTGTCTGGCAGCCCTATCCCTCCACATCCCCAGCTTTGTGACTTTGGGACAGTTACGTTCCCTCTTTGGTTGTGCGCGCGCTCTCTCTCTCTCTCTGTATATATTAATTTTTCGGGAGAGCACAAGCAGGGGAAGGGCAGAGGGGGTACGAGGATCCAAAGTGGGGTCTGTGCTGCCAGGCTGACAGCACAGAGCCCGATGTGGGGTTGGAACTCAAGAACCGTGAGATCATGACCGGGGCCGAAGGCAGAGGCTTAACCGGCTGAGCCATCCAGGTGCCCCAGCTTTGGTTTCTCTGTCCAGAAACTGTGGAGTTAGGGGTGGAGTAAGTGATTTCTAAGTGGTTGTGAATGAGATTCCTCCCGAGGCATTTGGGCCCAGTCTCTAGGCAAACCCCACCCCTCTTCGGTCTGTGGCCCTCAGGTTCCCCTCTCCGCTTTCAAGAACGTGATTTTGTAATCTTGATGACAGAGCAAGCCAGTGGGTTTCATTTACGCAGCAATCACGCCACCCAGTGGCCAAGTGGGAGAAGTGCCCAGAAGGCAAACGCCTGCCCTCGGCCAGTGTTGGGAAAATACTCAAAAGACAGGTGAAGGGAAGGTCAGAAGTTCGCTGGCAAAAATAGTATCATTTGGAAAGAAGTGTTACAGATGCTAAGTGTGGCAACTTCAATGTCCGCTCCCCCCTTACCCAGGATTTCAGCGCGACCTTCTGATGTTAGGGGCCGTCCGCCGAGCGGCCAGGAAGGTGATGGGGGGGTCCTCTGCAGATTTGCTTGGGTCAGAGGTCTGCCTGCTCTGCATTTTCCCAGGTGTCCTTTGTCCCCCTCTCCCTTCCTAACGATAGCAACTAATACCTCTGTACTGCGTGTCAGGTAATGTTTGAAGCGCCTGATGTGTGCCCACTGCCTGCGGGGTCCTGGCTACAAGGCAGCGGGTCAGAAAGGGCCCTGGCCCCGTGCCCCATAGGGTAGGGGCGGGGCGGTGGAGGTAGATGTACAGAAGCCGAGATGACACCCACTGGATGGTACTGGGGAGTGTTCACGCTCGCCTGCAGTCGATATGCCCCTGATGCACCTGCCGAGAGCCTGAGACCTATGGCACACCTGCCAGAGGTAGACAAAGCAGACGGCGATCCAGATGGCTGGCAGCCACAGCCCGTTGAGGTAGATGATGCTCTCGGTCAGCCGCTGCACATCCACGGACACCAGGTTGACCACGTCGCCCACTGCGCTGGCTTTTCTGGAGGCGCTGGACAGGACCAGGACCTGGGTGGGGCAGAGGGCTGAGACTCGAGCCAGAGGGAAGGGCGGGATGGGTGGGGGGCGAAGGCAGGGAGGCGCACGAGGCAGGGAGGCCCAAAGCACGGGCAGAGCTAGAGCACAGCTACCTGGGAGGTCTGGGGTCTAAGCTGGCCTGCCCTTGCTGGCAGAGGCGGGTCTCCTTGCTATCCAGCCTCAGTTCACTCATCTGTAAAGTGGGCTAGTAAATCTCCTAGGCCAACCTCCCAGGGCCGTTGTGAGAATTTGGAGAGATGACAAAAGAGAAAATGCTCTGAAACCCCTAAAGCACTGCTATGATAAGTGAGTAGCATGGTGTGTAAAACCTGTGGGTTTATGATGACAAGGGTGGTCATCTGCTGAGTGCCAGCTGTGTCCCAGGCACTGCACGAAATGAGCAGGGTCATCGTTTTCTGTGATGGGGCCCATCCCACCCCCAGATGGGGTAGGCACTGCCACATTTCATTCAACCCACAGTGCTATGGATGGAACATTCTGCTTTTGTGTCACTAAGGAAAAAAAAATAGGTACAATTAAATTAAGACACATGATACATGTCTTGATTTCAGAAGGGTTAAGAAAAAAGTGAGACTTGGGGCACCTGGGTGGCTCAGTCAGTTAAATGTCCAACTTCGGCTCAGGTCACGATCTCACGGTTCGTGGGTTCGAGCCCCGTGTTGGGCTCTGTGCTGACTGCCAGCTCAGAGCCTGGAGCCTGCTTCAGATTCTGTGTCTCCCTCTCTCTCTGACCCTCCCCTGCTCATGCTGTCTCTCTCTCTCTCTCTCTCTCTCAGAAATAAATAAAACATTTAAAAATTTTTTTAAAAAAAAGTGAGACTAGAATCAATGAAATGCAGAATGGCTAACCCCATTTTACAGCCAAGGAAACTGAGACACAGAGAAGTTGACCAACTTATGCAAAGCTGAAGGGCCTTATAAAGGACTAGGCCAAGCTTGGAATCCACGGTGACCAAGGCGAGGCATGAGCTAGACAGGGTGTTAGATCAGTCCCTGAAGGCATGTGCCCCCCACACACCAACCTGGTTCTCTGGCAGCCCCAGATGTGTCCCGGCCCTGGGGTCACAGTGGACCCCTTCCAGCTTGTATGAGTGCTAAGTTCTATTTGTCATGGTCTCTGCTGAGTGGGTGAGGGAAGAAATAAGAGGGTAGGGGAGTGAGCCAGGAAGGACTGAGTAGACAAGAGCCCCTGCACCAAAAGAAGCTCAAGGCTATGGCTTCCCATCAGGTACTCCTGCTCCACTGATGGAACTCTCAGCCCAGATGAACTTACCAAGGGTCAGGGGTCATTATTACCACAAGCAGGGTTGCCTGATGGTGAAGTTGACAGTCCACCTCCATCTGGTTTCCACACAGCCCCAAGATTAGCTCTTTACCCTCATGGGGGATGAGTGGAGGGTGGGTACATGAAAAGAAATGGAAATGGTATCCAGGTAGGAGGAACAGCAAGTGCAAGGGCCCTGAGGTGGAAGGTTGCCTGGTATGTTTGTGGCTGGAGTGGGCTGAGCAAGAGAGCAGGTGTGTGTTGTTATGGAGTTGGAGAGGTCCCCGGGTCGGATCACTCAAGGTCTTATGAAAATAACCAAGGAGGTGAGAGTGGCTACAAATGAGCAAAGTAATGAATGAGGGCATTTTCAGGCGCAGATGATATGATGTGACCCTTCTGGGCTAGAATGTTTAATATAAATTGAGAAGAAATGGAGAGATGGGAAAGACCTACACCTCTCACCCAGAGCTCACCTTCCTGTACACCAGGCCAGTGATGGCCGTTCGCAGCCTCATCTGCAGCACCTTGAGTCTGTACATGTACTGCTGCTCCCATACTGTTTGCAGGAAGGCAGAGAGGAACATCAGCACCGCGAGGAGATACCCCTTCCAGGCCGGGGTCGTGGGATTCCCAATAAACTCTAGGAAGAGGCTGTTGAGAGAGGGAGCGTCCAAGTGGTAAGAGAAGGCAGCCGTGGCTGTTACTTTTGCCTGAGCCTGGCAAGGTGTGCAGGGTCAGACAGTGTGGTTGACATGTTTGCCAAAATGCAAGTTATTTCTCCTACCGTCCACACTCATTTTATTTTTTTTAAATTAAAAACAATATTTATTTATTTTTTGAGAGAGAGAGAGAGAGAGAGACACGGCATGAGCAGGGGAGGGTCAGAGAGAGAGGGAGATACAGAATCTGAAGACAGGTTCCAGGCTCTGAGCTGGCTGTCAGCACAGAGCCCGACGCGGGGCTCGAACCCACAAACCGTGAGATCATGACCAGAGCCGAAGTCAGATGGTTAACTGACTGAGCCACCCAGGCGCCCCTCTTTTTTTTTTTTTTAAGTTTATTTATTTTGAGAGAGAAAGAGAATGAGAGTACAAGCACATGAGCAAGGAAGGGGCAGAGAGAGAGAGAAAATCCCAGGCAGGCTCCACTCTTTCAGCACAGAGCTCGACGCTGGGCTCTATCCCACGAACTGTGAGATCGTGACCTGAGTCGAGATCAGGAGTCAGACGCTTCACCGGCTGAGCCACCCAGGCGCCCCTCTCCACACCCATTTTCAGTGTGATGGCTGCTCCTTTGACCTAGAGGGGAGTATTTTATCTCCACCTGTTATGGGCTGAACTGTGTCCCCACAAAATCTCTATGTTAAATCCCAATTCCCAGTACTTTAGAATGCACCTGTATTTGGAGATTGGGCCTTTCGAGGGGAGATTTAGTTAAAATAAGGCCATCAGGGTGGAACCCTAATCCCATTTGACTGGTGTCCTCCTAAGAGCAAGTCTACACACACAGGGAGATACTACAGACACCACACACACACGGGAAAGACCATGTGAGGGCACAGCACGTCCGAGAGAGGCCTCAGATAACATCGGTCTTGATCTTGGACCTCCAGCCTCCAGAACTGTGAGGAAATGAACTTCTGCTGTCTAAGCCTGTAATACTTGGTTATGGTATCCGCAGCAAACGTATACACCATCCCCTGAATCGGGGCTGGCCGTACAACCAGCTTTGGCCCAGAAAGCTCAGTGGAGGGAAAACTGTGCCAGCTCCAAGCCCGAGGCCTCAGGAGAAAATGGCCTTTTTGCTCTGCGTCTTCGAGCCCTGCCAAGTGGCCGCGTGAACGAGCCGGAGCTAGCACCGTGGACCACATGGAGCAGAGACAAGCTGTCCCAGCTGAGACTGTCTCAGCCCTGCCAGCCCCCAGCCAGCTTCACACACCGCTGGCCGCAGACAGGTGGGTGAACCCGACTGAGGGAAGAAGAACTGCCAGCCGAGCGCAGCCCAAACTGCTGACCCGCATTACCACGAGCTAAAGAAGTGGTTGGAAGCCCCTCGCTTTTGGGTTGTTTTGTTACACAGCAAAAGCTGACTGATACAGTCAGAGTAGAATTCATTCATCTTCTCTCCCTGAGGTTAGTCACTTTCTCAGTATTGTTTCCCTTCCTCAGTACCCTTTTCACCCACTCTCCGGTGGCCTGGGCACCCCAGAGGACTAGGCAGAGGAAGAAAGAGAGCTGATGCCCGCCGACTCTGGAACTTCCCATTAAGGAAGGGACCGCCAGCCTTAGCAAGGCACCCAAGGCCTGGACCCACCTGAGGAGTTTGGGGACAGCAAACCTGAAGACATCAGAGATGATGATGCAGAGGGTCCCCAGGAGGAAGGAGGAACGGAACATCTGCCACATGGCCCTCAGCAGCAGGCCCCTCTGGCTCCCTTCTGGCTGCAGGAGGACCTCCACCTCCGGGGCCTCCCCGCCACACCTGTCTTTCTTTTTAGCTGCTCTCGCCTTGGCGTGCCTTAAGGGAGAGGAGAAAATGGCTCTGGGTCATTGCCAGGGACTGAATATTTGTTTCCGGCCCCCCACCCCCCTGCCCAAACTCTCATGTTAAAATCTAACCCCCAGGGTGATGGTATTTTGGGGGAGGTGAGGCGGTCTCGGGGGTAGGGCAGACGGCTCCCTCCTGTCCCCACGTGAGAACACCGGGGAGACACGGCCACCGGGAACCGGGAGACAGAACCTGTAGGGGCTCTGGTCCTGGAGTGCCCAGCCTCCAGCACTGTGAGAACTGACTGACTGTGGTTTGGAAGCCACTCAGCCTCCGGTATCTTGTTACAGGCGCCTGAACGGACTGAGATGGTCCGTTTACATCCTCCCAGAGGGGGCAGAGGAGCCTCCGGAAGGACCAGGCGCTACGGGACCGTTTTCCCAGCAAGGGGGATGAGCGGACAGGCATCCCGCCTTGCTCCCTCAGCTGTTCTTTGTCCCCCGGAGGACCCCTCTATGAGACAACAGGGCAGGGGCGGGGCAGGGCAGGAGGGCAGCCGTAAGGCGTTACGGGTGGTGATGGGAAGGCACACACACTGAGCACCTACTATGTGCCAGGCACTCCTCGGTCCTCTGGAGAAGCTGGCAAGCTAGGTGTTAACCCCACTTCACAGATGGGGAAATGAAGGTTTAGAATGAACTTGTCCAAGGCCACATGGCTGAGAAGTTGAAGAACTGGGATTTGATCCCAGCTCCTTGCCTTTAGAGCCCAGGCATTCTGCGAGCCATGAAAGCAGCTCCCCTTTTCCCGTGCACGCCTGGCTAGCCCTTAGGTGGTTTAGAGCTGGTCTAGGACCAGTTTAGAATCACAGCTGATGTCCATGGGCCCAGCATTCCTGGTCTGGATGAAACCTCAGACAGAAGCCAGAGGGAAGGTGGGGAGTGGGAGAGCCAGCCAGACAGGTCCTCAGCTGCTGACAGTCTGGGTGCTGTGTGGCCTTGGGCAGACAACTGCCTTCTCTGTGCCTCTGTGTCCTCACACGTGCAAGGATGGGGCTGGTCGCACTCTTTGAGTTTCTTCCAGCTCCGACAACCTCTGGCTTTATCAGTAATTTCAGTGCCTGTTTACAGAGCCGGGAGCTGGGGCCAGGCCCTGGGATCAGCCCTGTGCACACACCAGTTTGTTGATTTTTCTTGACTTCCCTGCCTGGTGGGCATCGTGGGCTCCCATTTTCCCTAGGAGAAGATTGAGGCTCTGAAAGGTGGTGACAGCTGCTCAAGGTCACACAGTGAGGACAGAGCAGGGCTCTGAGACCGGATCTCGATTCGTGGTTCACATAGTACCTCTTTGTGAGCCTCCCTCACAAAAATTTTTGGAATGAAGGGGAAAAAAAACAACCTTGGTGAGCATTGGTGGCCAGACCTTTGCTAACAAGCCAAGGCCTTGCCCCTTGACCGTGGTCTGGCATGTTTGATTTGGCATCTCTGAAGGGTCTGTCGCTCAGCTGGGCATGGCTTGCTCCTCACAAACATTTTGGCATTTGGGTCTCCGATGCTAAAGAGATGTCACCTTCTCGTCACCTGGCCACCCCTCCCCATCAGAGCCCATTGAGTAATTCATGGCCTGCAAAGCCATGTTCACTCTCCCCCATATCACCGTTATGTACTGATCTCGTCAGCGCTCCAGGGGGCAGGCTTCGCCGGGACTTCCCCCCATATTCAGCTCCTGAATGTAGTAGGCACTCGATAAATACTTGCCAAATGAATGGAAACAAACAGATGTGTGATGTGTGTAAAGGGCCTGACAGGAGTGCCTGGTGCATAAAGTTGTAAAGGTTTGTGGAAGGAAGGAAGGATGGAAAGATGGAGGGAGGGGGGGAAGGAAGGAGGGGAGGGAGGGAGGCAGGAAGACAGGCACTCTGGTTTGATGGACAGAACCTGCCTTGGAGCCAGGAGCCTGCGATTCAAATGCCTGCTCTGTCCCCTTTCCCCTGAGCCTCAGTGTTTCCATCTGTAAAAGGGGTGGCCAGGAGATGCCTATGAAGGCCTCTTTGCAGCTGGATGTTTTGCTCCATCCTGTTCTGGTTGCGCACCTCAGAATTCTGCATCACTGGGTCCCGCGTGCAGGCGCTGTAGCCAGGCTCCTCCTTTCCAGCGGGCCTCACGCTCCAAGTTAGGTCTCTGGACTGGAGGCCATTTAGTGCAGGGCGTGCAAATGACCACGGGGAGGGGCGGGGGGGGTGAGTGAGTGTCCAGGTCCAAGCGAGGGAAGACAAAAGGGAGTGGAACAGACTGTGGCCACCAATGCCCTGCCCACGGGGGCTCCTGCTGCCCAGATCCACTCCCCTGCCACCACACAGGGGACGTGACCTGGCTCTGCTCGTCTCCTTTAAAACAGACCAGAATTCCAGATTTTTATATGAAATCTCCAATGTTTTACATACAAACAAAAAAAAAAAAAAAAAGAAAGAAAGAAAAGAAACAAAAAACCCCAAACAACATGCAGACCACACACCCAGGGAACCTGATCTGGTCTGCGGGTGGCTGGCTCCTGACCTCTCGAGATGGCGTCCTCACCCTTCCCCCCAAAATTGCAAAATACTTCAGGAATAAAACCAAAGTTCTTTCTGTGCGTCATCAGTCAACTCAGAAAATCACTCAGGGAGACCTTTGTATGGCCCTGCCTACCTCCTCTCTGTCAATTGCTATGGCTTCTTAAACTGTCGTGTAGAATGTTTCTATCCTGGCTCCATGTTCTCAGGCCCCCCCAGGGGAGGTCACAGATGGAAGAGAGTGGAAAGACCTCTAGGACCTTTAAAAAACAAAACAAAACAAAACAAAAAACCCAACTATGTTTACTTATTTTCGAGAGAGAGAGACAGTGTGAGCAGGGGAGGGGCAGAGAGAGAGGGAGACACAGAATCCGAAGCAGGCTCCAGGCTCTAAGCTGTCAGCGCAGAGTCTGTTGTGGGGCTTGAACTCACAAACTGTGAGATTGGATGCTTAACCAACTGAGCCACCCAGGCACCCCCCTCCAGGGCCCTTTTGAATGAATTCAGCCACTTAGAAATCATGTAAGACTAGAGGCACAATTCAACAAAATATGCCTACAATGAGTTGCCATTTTGACTTGCTCATGTCATTCACCCCTTTTAGAAAAACACATCCCACTGTGGCTCTGAAGGGGCTACCGATCATGGGGCCCACCCCCCTGGCCATGGCATTGATCCCTGATTGGCACATGACTCGAGTCAGCCAATCAGAGGCCTTCCCTAGCACTTTCTATAGGTGCTAGGAGAGACACTCCATTTGCTGGAGTTGCTGCTGGCAGAAGAGGAAGCAGGCCAGCACATCAGCTGAGCTGAGAGATGGAGAGAAAGAATTTGGATATGATGCAAGCCCCTGGATCCAGCCCCACCTGAGGCTAGACCTGCCTTCTAAGCTATGTGAGTCAAGAGACGGTCTCTCCTTCTAATTTGGAGGATTCAGCAATTCACAACAACCCCCACAAAGCCCTAGAGTACACAGGGGAACCCGTTACACTTGCCACACAGTTAAGGTATTTTTGTCTGTCCCCTGAAACACGAAGGTCACATGATTTGGCCAAAGTCATCAACTACTTCATGGCAAGACCGCATTTAACTCACGTGTAATGAAACCTGTGTCGACAGCTCTTTTCTGTAAGGCCAGAGGTTCCCTACTGGGTTCCTCAGAGTCAGAGTGGACCACAGAAGTTTCCAGAGATGCCACAGAAGGCAGGGCAGGCAGGACTAGAGAAAGCCTGAAAAACTCTAGATAACTGATACTGTTTGAGCTTTTACCGTTTTTGAGGTATTCGCCAAGTTCTTTTCTACAAATCTTTTTTTTTAAATTTTTTTAATGTTTTATTTATTTCTGAGAGAGAGAGACCGCGTGTGCAGGGGAGGGTCAGAGAGAGAGGGAGACACAGACTCTGACATAGGCTCCAGGCTCTGAGCTGGCAGTCAGCACAGAGCCCGACGCGGGGCTCGAACCCACGATCCGTGAGATCATGACCTGAGCTGAAGCTGGATGCTTAACCAACAGAGCCCCCCAGGCTCCCCCTCTACAAATCTTTTTTTCCCATCCCCACAAGCTAAGGGCATCTTCACTGAACAGACGAAAGAGGACCGAGGCCCAGGGAATGACTCCCTCGGTTAGACAGTGAGTAGCTGGCTGCACGTCGTGGACCCCACCACCAAGCCCCCTCCCGATCTGTTTCCTGCCTGCCGCTTCCCTCGGAGGCACCCACGCTGTCCTGGAGCCTGCAAAGCACTCTGGGAGGAAATGCCCCTGGGCCTGGTCAGGTGATGCTCAGTGGGAGCCGCTGGGAAACAGGGGACTGCGGCAGTGGAGCCCAGAGGAGGGTCTGGGGTGGCGCTCGGGCCAAATGATGAGCTCTGCTGACCAAGCGCCGGGCCGGGCTCCCGATTCTCACACACTCACCGCTGGGCCGCACTGCGGTTCCTCGTCCATTCCCTCTCGAGCTGGGAAACAAGTGCTTCTGAGGAGTTTTCTCGCCCGAGTGACCAGAGGTCTTTTGGCTCCAAAGGCCTCCTGTAGCCCCTCCAGACCAGCCTGTAAAAAGAGGGTCATCAGCACAAGCTCCTCCTGCCATTCTCCGCAACCCCACCCCCACCCCCACCCCAAGGTCCTGGCCTGGTAGCTGTGTGACCCTGCGTAAGTCACTTTTCCTCTGCTAGACCCTCAGGAAAATGAAAGCAGTTAGGCCAAGCACACCCAACATTTGTGGGGCACTTCCCAGTTTACAAAGATTATCTCATTAAATCTCACATGAGATCATATGGTGATAACTATTGGCCCATTTTACAGATGAGGGGGGAAAATGGAGGTTCAGAGAGATTAAGTGACTTAACCGACGGACAACCTGCGTGGCGAGGGAAATAAACCTCTCCAGGAGTCAGAAGTCCAGAGTTGGGAACCTGAGCTCCACCCTCAGCTTTAAGTGCCCCCACTCCTCTCCTTATGCACCTCTCCAGCCACCTGGCCTCAGGACCTTTGCACATGTGTGTTGCTCTGCTTAGAACCTATTTCCTGCCACTCTTCACCTGGCCACTTACTTAGCCTTCACCTGTGGGCTTAGACGTGATTTCTTTAGACACCCACCTGATGGCCCTTCAGTCCAGACAGATTTTCCCATTATAGATTCTTTTCCTGAACTTTTCTTTAAAATGCTTGTTGTCATTATGATTTACTTTTTTGATATGATTATTTATTGAGTGACTTTCTCCTCCATTGGATGGACCTGCCTTTATTTTCTTCTATATCCTCACCGCCTGACACAGGGCAAAAGATTTGTCCCATGAAACCGTTTTTCAGCTGTCACCTTGGGCACGTCACTTCCCATCAGTGGATCTCAATTTTCTCACCTTACAATGAGAGAGTTCCCCACCACTAGGACTGGACTGTAGGTGGCACATTGTTGGAGGAGGTCACGCAGAGGACGTGACCTCCGGTTGTCCCGCGAGCTGGACGTGGGCAATGGGAGCCTCCTCGCCCCTCCTTGCCCTTAGAAGGTAGGATCTGCCCGCTTGGCCTGCACTAAAAGTCGTTTCAAGGACGCAGCCTTGAGAAGAAGGCGGTGTGTCTGAACTCTGCGGAGGCCCCCACGTTAACGTGTCAGATTCTGGCGGGCGGGTGTGGAGACCTCTTCGCTTTGTGGCTGCCCAGGTCGAGCCTCGTAAGTTTCCTTGCTTATTAAAACCGCCACCTGCCAATGGCAATGGCCTGGTCTATTCTGTCTTCGGTCTCTCCTTGCCTTCCAGGTATGGGGGCAGCTTGTGAACCAGCGCACGCACGCACACACACACACACACACACACACACATGATTAATTACTGCAGACTCCATGGTGGGAGTGTGGTCCATTACTCCTCAGGTATGTGATCTTTCTAATAACACCAAGGAGATGGTCATGTTTGCTACTGCTCCTAAGCTCCCCTCTGAGACTTTCCAAGTATTTTTTTTTTTTTAATTGCAGAGCCAATCTAGTTCTGGCCTAGAAATTATTAACACGACTTCGTTTTCAGTGAAATTTAGGGAGGAGATCTATGTGGCAAGTGATTTAATAGATTTTTTTTCCAACTTGGCAGTGATAGAAAGTTTCCTTTTCAAAAAGTTTGTTGAAGTAGAAAAAGTGAATTGGTTTAAAGAGGGGGAAAAAAAACCCTCAGGGGTGCCTGGGTGGCTCAGTCAGTTGGACATCTGATTTGGATTTGGGTCATGATTTCACAGTTCATGGGTTCAAGCCCTGCATCGGTCTCTGTGCTGTCAGCATAGAGCCTGCTTCTGATCCTCCGTCAGCCTCTCTCTCTGCGCCCTCCCTGCTCATTCTCTCTCCTCCCCTCTCTCTCTCTCTCTCTTAAAGTAAACTTTTTTAAAAAGTTAAAACAAAGAAAAATGAGTTCAAAAATAGAAAAAAAAAACAAAGAAAAAGCCATTAAGTAAAGAAAGGAAAATAATACCTCAATTAAGGCAAAGAGCTTGAAGAATGATCCATAAATGCCTGTGTTTGGGAAACAGAGGGCTAGGTCCTCTCTAGAGCTGTTTAGCTAAATTGTATGCACTTCCAACCAGTGCCTCCCCCAGGGCATCCTAGTAGTTATGTATTCACCATCCACTTTGTATAATGCTCATTATGGGCTAGACCCTGTGCTCAGTGCTTCCCATGCCTTATTTCATTTAATCCTCACACCCTATAAGGTAGATGCTATTATTATCCTCATTTTACAGGGGCGGGGACTGAGACGCAGAGAGGTTAAGCAGCTTCCCCAGGGTCACACAGCCAGGAAGTGGCGAGGCCAGGATTCAAAGCCAGGTGCTACCAAGATCTGACTGCAGTGTGGCCTGGAGGGGACATGGCATCCTCAGTGCCTGGTGTGCTGGCCCTAGAGAAACATCTGTCTTCTCCACCTCTGGGAGCCTCTGGGTGAGTAAAAGATGTGTTTTTTTTTTTTTTTTTTTTTTTTATGTTTTATTTTTTTCTGAGAGAGAGAGGGAAGCAGCGTGAGCAGGGGAGGGTCAGAGAGAGAGAGGGAGACACAGAATCCAAAGCAGGCTCCAGGCCCTGAGCTGTCAGCACAGAGCNCAGAGAGAGAGAGGGAGACACAGAATCCAAAGCAGGCTCCAGGCCCTGAGCTGTCAGCACAGAGCCCGACGCGGGGCTTGAACCCACGAACCGCGAGATCATGACCTGAGCTGAAGTCGGACGCTTAGCTGACTGAGCCAGCCTGGCGCCCCTAAAAGATGTGGTCTTTAATCTCCTCACTCCCAGTGCTTAGCACATAGCAGGTGCATATTAGATGCCGGTGGAATGAATGCAGCCAAGTAATAGATCTGATTTTGTTGAGCACCTGCTGTGTACAAGCACTAAGCAAATTGCATTTAGCGAAGGTAGAGCTGTTCCCCTTTTACAGAGGGGAAAACAGACCCTGAATGTTTGTGATATGGGCCAGCTAAGAGGGAAAGCCAGGACTCAAACCCAGATCTCGCTCCAGTGAGTGAGACACTGGGGTGTGAACACTAGACACACTGGGATCTGACAGAGAAACACTGAGGCTGGGGAGGAAGGCAGCCTGGCTGACCTGGGAAGGCCTGAGAGGAAATGTCCCAGGGGAAGAGCGGTAGTGACGAATACGGCAGCACGTGCAGGTGGTGAGGACACCACCGCGGCCCCTTCCCCGCTACTTTACTTACCCAGAAATCCACCAGAACATGGCCTTGGAGGGGAAGGAAGCTCCAGCCTCCGGACATGGATTCTGTAAAGACAAGAGATGGGGTCAAGGGAAGCCACAAGTCTCACATCTCATGGCCAGGAAAAGACAAGGGAACCAGGGCAGGAAAACAGGAGGAACAGACCGTGAGCTTAGCACTGCAAGTGCACATTCACACGTCCTGCCTGCTTGTCGGAGGTGAACACATGGCGGAGGTGCTTCCTAGCAGGCAAGGCAAAAAGGGATTGTGCCACAAATCTGACAGTGACCACGAGGTAAGAACTAACGGCTGTCCAGACGAACAACTACTGCTAACCCCGAGACTAAGAAGCTGTCAAATAACGGGGCCTGCATGACACAGACAGTAACATTCTCGACAACATCCTCAGTGAATATGGCAAGGAGGTGCGGAGGGATCCATCCTGACATGTTACTGGCTGTTCCAGAAAAACTGCAGACATCTTCACCTTTGACCAATGGGGTGTGAGACTGCTTATTTCACTACATCTTTGCCATCACAGCTTATTATCAATTTTTAATGTTTTCTTCCATTCTCATAGAATTAAAAAGTTCTACTATAGTTTTCACTTGATTACTCATGTAGCTGAGCACTTTATTTTTTAGGTGATCTTTCCTCAGTGGTCTCTTCCTCAAATAATTCTTTCCTGATTTCTCAGGCTAGTTCAGTGCTCCCTGTTGTAAACTCTCATAGACCACGAATTTCTCCTGCGGGGCACTTGCCCCAAATGTAATTTTCCACGTGCTTGTGCAGTTATGTGACTAATGTCTGGTCCCTCTACTTAGCTGTTAGCTGCATGGGGACAGGGACTACATCTGCCTGTTTGCCATAGATCCTCAGCACCTAGCTGGGACACAGCGCAGGGCCTGGTAGACTGCAGCCCCCGGGCCAGATCCGGCACAGCGCCTGTCTCTGCAAATAAAATTTTACCGGAATACAGCCACGCTCCTTCGACATACTATCCGTGAGCAGCAGCAGCAGCATTGAATTGATGCCACAGACACCATATGACCCACAAAGCTGAAAATATTTTCTGCCTTGCTCTGATCAGAAAAAGTCGGCCAACCCAGGGCGTAGATATACAACACACATTTTGCCGAAGGAAAGAACGATTAAACCATGATGAAAGGCTTGTGCCCTAGTTTAGCTCCTTTCTGTCCCGCGGGGACACGGAGCCCAGAAGTGCGACAGAGACAAGAGAGGTCCCTGGGTTGCAGACGCGGCACCTTACCGACTGCGGAGGGTCTTTAGGGAAGAAGGGGGGTTGATCGACGAGGCAGGACAGCACCACCTGTACCAGCACCAGGGACAAGCACAGGTAGGTCGACAGGTGGTGGAAGGGGTCACTCTGGAAGCCCTGTGGGCGAGAAGGCAGAAGTCCCACTGAGTCTGCATGCTCAAGGCCGCCGCGGAGGCCTGTGGGGAGCAGAGGCCGGGCAGGGGGCGTCTAAGGGGAGGCAGGTCAAGGCTGAGCAAGATTTCTGAGGCTACGAGCAGTGCGCAGGCAGGGAGCAGGGCCACAGGGTTTGAAAACCAGTGCCCCCGGCATTCCTGGTGACCCGATTTAGGAACACTCCATTGTCTGCACAAATGGGGTGCCAGGTGTTTCCCCTTAGGCAGGTGACAGTCGGCCACCGCCCCTGCAATGTGGGCAGGGAGGATACTTTTCCTTTCTCCTTGTGCCGCAGAGGAAAGCCTTTCCTCTACTGCAGCCTCCACCCCAATATCCCATTCTGCTTCCCCATGGCCAGTGTTTTCTGGTTTAAGGGAACTGGGGCGCCTGGGTGGCTCAGTCGGTTAAGCGTCGGACTCTCAGTTTTAGCTCAGGTCACGATCTCACCGTTGTGAGATCGAGTCTCCCGTCGGGCTTGCGTCAGGCTCAAGCTCATGGCGCAGGGTCTGCTTGGGATTTTCTCTCTCTCCTCTCTCTGCCTCTCCCCCAGTTGCACGCATGTGCGTGCTCTCTGTCTCTCAAAATAAATAAATAAACTTAAATAAAAAAGCAGGGAACTGGACTTATCAAGCATTTCCTCCACCTTGTGCCTATGCGGGAGTCTTTTTGGGCATCTGGTCCCTCCCCACTCTGACCCTAGTTGGGGTTTAGCTGCTCTGTTTTACTCATGTGGAAACCAAGTTCACAGAAGCGACAGCAGGTTGCTCAAGGGCACACAGATGATTTGATCCAAATCATGAACTTCTGCCGCCACACCATGACTGCTTTTGCTTCCGCTGCCCCTCTGGTCAGAGCCCCTTAACTACTTTTCCCACGCTCGGGTATGTGGTTTTCGCAGAAGTGACTCCCTCCAGGCGGGGGGCCGGTGACTGAGGTCTGACCAGTATGTTCCAGTCCCCTGGCTACTGAGATTGTGTTAGGAATGGACCAGGGGCGTCTGGGTGGCTCAGTCGGTTAAGCGTCCGACTTCGGTCGGAGCTCAGGTCAAGATCTCACGGTTTGTGAGTTCAAAGCTCACATAGGGCTCTGTGCTGACAGCTCAGAGCCTGGAGCCTGTTTCAGATTCTGTGCCTCCCTCTCTCTCTGGCCCTCCCCTGCTCACGCTGTCTCTCTCTCTCTCTCTCAAAAATAAATAAAACATTAAAAAAATTTTTTTAAAAAACAAAGGAATGGACCTACGACCCACACTGGGCCAGTGAGAGCCAGAACCTTCGGGAGATCTTCCACTGGGGTTGCTGCGGTGGGACCACAGGTCTAAAGCAACTGCTGGCTCCTCCTGCCACTCCGCTGCTGAACGAAGCTAACAGGGCAGAGCTGAGAGACAGAAAAAAGATGGACATCTATCTGGTGGTGTCATCTGAACACCTGGAGCAGCCATGCCCAGGAGAGCCCCCATCTAGGAGCTGATAAACTCCTCTGGACTTTTTTTCCCCCGTAAGCTAGTGTGAGTTGAGTCTTTGTGGCTTAAAACAAGAGCCCTAGTTTCAAACGGCAATCCCTCTACTGGATGTCTATGCTCTTTTGGTTTTATTTTTGTTTTTTGGTAGGAATTAGACAACTTGATACTCCAACTGCATCATGGCCCACCTTCCCTATTCTGCCATTTTTACCACTGTTTCCCTCGGGACATCTGCTCTGAATTTGGGGGAGGTGGACTCGGGCTCTGTGCTCCTCGGCTGTGTGACCTTGAGGGGGCCACTCATTTCTCTTAGCCCTGGTTTCCTTGTCTTTAAAACGGGACCATGAGAATCTGCCAGGGCACACTCTTGTAAGAATCCAACGAAGACATGATATATGGTGCCTTTGCAGGGCCTGGCACGTGGCCGGGGCTTCAGAGCCTGCGTGGTCACAATATTGTAATTTCTGAGCTGCGTCTGTTCCCCTGGGGGAACCTGGCTTTTCATAAATCAGGGGACGGCCTGTGGCATTTTCCCATCATTTACGAAGGTTACTTTGTCAAAGTCTGTCCTTGAGGATAGAAAGGTCTGTCTCTGCCTTTTCCTTCCGGGAGTGGGATGGAGCAGCCACTCAGCTCGAGAAACGATGGTGTGCGGTCACTGCAGCGGGTCCCCGCATCTCGGCTGAGCGTGCCTTCTATGCCAGCAGGTTCCAACTGGGGTGAATTTGTCCCCAGGGGACAGTTGGCAGTGTCTGCAGACACTCTGGGTCACCGTAAGGGGAGGTGTGCTGTTGGCATCTAGTGGGTGGGGGCCAGGGATGCTGTTTAACATCCTACAAATCGAGAACAGCCCCCCCCGCCCCTCCCCCCACCCCTGCCCCAAAGAGAATCATGTCAAGAGTGCTGAGGGGGAAGAATTGAGGTCTGGGCTATTCTTTGCTTTGCGAATAAACAGATCCATTGTGTCCCTTAATGTGGAATTGCTACTGCCCAGGACAGGAAACAGAAATATGGGTGGCAGTGGGGATGCCTGGGTGGCTCAGTGGGTTGAGCACCTGACTCCTGATTTTGGCTCAGGTCATGATCTCACAGTCTTGAGATCGAGCCCACCTCAGGCTCTGTGCTGACAGCACAGTGCTCACTCTCTATGTATCAAATGAAAAAGAAACACTGGTAGCTTTGCAAAATATGTACTATATACAGATGGGAGCATGGGTGAGGGTAGAATGAGGGAGATGCGTGCTCATGCAGAAAGAGTGTGCACAAGTATATTCTGGATGAGGTGGTGGAGGGGGTTAATTCCAGGCTCCTTAGGGCCTTCCCTTTTCCTGGAACGTACATTCCACCCACCTGTCTCGCATTAGGAGCCTTTTCAAGAACACAAACTGGAGACAGAAACATGCACCTGGCGGCAGGTGCAGAGATCTACTCTCCTGCGGTGCCCGGGTCGAGCCTTACAAGTCCCCTTGCTCTGCCAACTACCATGTGGGGTGCCCTGCCTCTCTCTCCATCTCTCGTTGCCCTCTGTGTACGGGGCCACTTAAAATTTTTTAAAATAGTTTTCTGTTTATTTTTGAAACAGAGACAGAGCATGAGCAGGGGAGGGACAGAGAGAGAGGGAGACACAGAATCTGAAACAGGCTCCAGGCTCTGAGCTGTCAGCACAGAGCCCGACGCGGGGCTCGAACCCACAAACCGTGAGATCATGACCTGAGCCAAAGTCGGACACTCAACCGACTGAGCCACCCAGGCGCCCCTATAGGGCTACTTTCAAATTTCATCAGGGAAGCTCCTGACGTTGTGAACCAAGAGTGCTCCTGTGGCCGGGGGTGTGAGGGAGGATGTGTGAATGGGTGTGGAGTGTGGGAATGTGCAATGTGTGTGCGTGAGTCGTGTGGGCGCTTGAAGGCACAGACACACCGGGTGGCGGCAGGTGTGGGTGCGTTTCAGGCGGTAGTTGTGCGATGCAAGAAAGGTGGGGCACGCAGTTTTGTCTGCTGTGCAAGTGAAGTGTGTGACATGAGTGTGTAAGCCCCCGGGGATGTGTGTCCACGGAAAACGTAGGGGATGCTGCGTACCCCTGGGTGAGGGAGTGCGCCTGTGTGTCGCTGCAGTTTAAGCAACCGTGGTGTATTTTTCTGTGTAGACAATAAGCCGTGTGTGGAAAGGGGAGGAGGAAGGACGGGGGGTGGGGGGGACCCGAAGGCCCGAAGCTGCCATATCGGTTTCCCCAGGCCTCCACTTACCCCTTGTGAGGCCAGCTGGGCAGCACTGGTCGCCGGCAGGAGAAAGCAGAGCAGCCAGTATCCAAACAGCAGCCCCGATGCCCGGACCCCCTTCTTCCTCTCCGTGTGGACCAGGAACATGGCAAAGCTCTGGACAGGAGACGCAGGACAGGCCCCTTCAGGTGGGGAGCGCTGGGGAGGGTAGAAGGGAGCCCCGCTCGGCCCCACGCCCGCCCCCGGGGCAGGAGAGCCGGGCAGGCTGCCATTACCGTGGTGGCCAGCCACACGGTGGGATGAATGAGGAATTCCGGGGCCTGGGGCGTTCCGCGCCGGGTTCTCCAGAGAGCCACAGACACGCTGGCGGTGCACAGGATGATGAGGGCGAGCCCGAGTGCCTGGGGAACAGGCCTCAGGTAAGGCCGGTGGGCAGAGAAAGGCGGGGGCAAGCCAGGCAGGGACCCCCTGCCCTCTGGATGAGGCACCACTAAGGCACCAGCATCATAACTGAACAGTGCCAGTGTGAACGGTGCTGAAGAAAAAGCAGGAAGGGGATCCTTACCTGCAGACTCACCTTGACCTAAAGTGTCCTATAAATAATACGCCACAGGGACCCGAGCCAACCCAGAGTTCTCCAGAATGCAGGGGTGGGGCGGGGCGAGCCAAGAGTGCACAGGCGAGGTGCTTTAGGTATGATGGAGTGGCCTGGGAGCGCCTGGGTGGCTCAGCTGGTTAAGGTATGACTTCAGTTCAGGTCATGATCTCACAGTTTGTGGGTTCGAGCCCCGCATCTGGCTCTGTGCTGACAGCTCAGGGCCTGGAGCTGCTTCAGTTTCTGTTCTCCTTCTCTCTCTGCCCTTCTGCCACTCACGCTCTGTCTCTCCATCTCTGTCTCTCTCTCTCTCAAAAATAAATAAACGTTAAAAATTTTTTTAAAAAGTGACCTGAAACAACATTTACTCAGCAGGTGAAAAAGCTACACTCTCTTCAAGTCTCTTTTGACCTCTACTTTTTTTTTTATTTTTTAATGTTTGTTTATTTTTGAGAGAGATAGAGCACGAGGGGGTGAGGGGCAAAGAGAGAGAGACACACAGAATGGAAAGCAGGCTCCAGGCTCTGAGCTGCCAGCACAGAGCCCAACACAGGGATCGAACCCACAAACTGTGAGATCATGACCTGAGCAGAAGTTGGACGCTCAACCGACTAAGCCACCCAGGTGCCCCTGACCCCTACTATTAAATCAAGGAGAAACTCTGTTGGGACTGGTATGTCTCTAGACCCTTCTCTAAGATGCGGCGGTCTCTCTCTTGAATGAGAGAAAGCGAGAAAGAAGGTGCACACAGGTGGGAGAGAAGACGAGGCTGGGGCACGTCACACACACTATGTTAAGCACCTCACTCCGTCCAAAGCAGGGCTCCAACCACTACTGGGTTTGTAGGCTGTGTTTGACAGGCTGCCTGTTTTGTACCACCTGTGAGCCAAGGATGGTTTCTGACATTTTTCAATCATTGAACAAAACTCAAAAAAAAAAAAATAATAATAATATGTCATCACGTGTGAAAATCACATGAAATTTAAATTTCAGTGACTTTCGAGAAAATGTTATTGAAACACAGTCACGCCTATGTATTAACTGTTGTCTGCAGCTGCTTTTCTGCTGCAATGGCGGAGTAGCTGACACGGAGTCACACGGACCCTCAAAGCCTCCAATATATTCTCTCTGGCCCTTTAAGGAAGAGCCAGGCAATAGGACACAAATTAGAAGGTGGTATGGGAAGGGCATTCTTGTAGAAGTTTGGAGAAGGGGATGGATGAGCAGAAAGGCTCACACTTGGAATGCCCGTGTTTTTGCAACACACTAAAATAAATACACAACAATATTAAGAACTGGTTTTTAGAACAGCCAATGGGGAAACATAAAAATCAATGCATAACCGTTCAAAACATTTTTTACAGTTCACCCAAGTGTGACCCTGGCCAGGAGCATACAGCGTCCGGATGTGTGTGTTTGCAGATGCGTGCATTTTTAGGATCACCAAATCTGTGCGGGGGCATCTCGTTCCACAGAGTTTACCTCTGTAGCCTCTCTGGAGTATTGCTCGGTTGGATTAATAGGTCCCCTTCTTGTCCCCACCCTGGGTGCTCCTTGAAAGGAGGAAAGTCCAGTTTGGGGTCTCAGCCAAGGCTCCCGCCATCTCCGCACACCTCCCAACCATTGTCTGGTTACAGTGTCCCAGGGGCAGCGGTTACCAGTTTGGCCTTGAAGAGCAGGGACATCCGGAGGTAGCCGTTGCTATGGCGATGGATGTAGAGGAGGTAGATGGGGCCAAGGACCCAGAGGTACATCGGGGGTACCCAGATCCCTGCCGTTTTCAGGAAGCACACGTTCAGTAGGTGGGTGCCAATGGGCTCCGGCTCTGTCCAGTTCCAGACCTGAGGGAACACCAGAAGCACCCTTCTGATGACACAATGCAGGGGTCCCAAATCCACCTGACAGGGGGCAAGGTGACCTTTTGGAGTTTTAACATCAATGTGAAAATGGGCCAAGCGCTCTCTGGAGTACCTCATAATTCTCAACGTCTTTAAAGCTAACATCAACTCTATGAGGTAGAGGCAATTTTCATGTCGATTTTGCATATGAGGAAGCTGAGGCCCAGAAAGGTTACCTAACTTGGGTGATGGTCACCCAGGTGGAAAGTGGTGGTGCAGGGATTTGAACCAAGGCGGTTGGGTCCTGGAGTCTGGAATACCTGGGTTCCAAGATGAATACTGGGTGCAGACTGTCACTTAGGCCTTGTATTTTAAGAGGAAGGTGTTACTGCTCCCATTTCACAGACCAGGAAACTGAGGCACTGAGAAGGGGAAGAGCCTTCTTCAGGCCCACACACATACAGGAAGTGGCAGAGCTAATTCCCATGAAGCTTGTTTGACCCGAAACTTGTTCTACAGAGGGTCTTGATCTGTGATTCTTGTGGGCTTTTTTTTTTTTTAATTTTACGTATTTTTAAGTTTATTTTGAGAGAGAGAGAGAGAGAGAGAGAGAGAGAGAGAGAGAAAGAGACAGAGCACATGAGCCGGGGAGGGGCAGAGAGAGAGGGAGAGAGAGAGAATCCCAAGCTGGCTCCAAGGTGTCAGCGCTGAGCCTAGGGGCTTGAACCCATGAACCATGAGATCATTTCCTTCTCTGCAAAGGGGAGGGGTGGTGTTAAGAGAATCTACCTCTATTGGGGCACTGGGTGGCTCAGTCCATTGGGTGTCTGACTTCAGCTCAGGTCATGATCTGACCCTTCCCTGCTCATGCTCTGTCTCTCTCTCTCTCTCAAAAATAAAAATGAGGGGCGCCTGGGTGGCTCAGTCAGTTAAGCATCCGACTGCAGCTCAGGTCGTGATCTCTTGGTTCAGGTCGTGATCTCTTGGTTCGTTGGTTCGAACCCTGCATAGGGTTCTGTGCTGGCAGCTCAGAACCTGGAGTCTGTTTCGGATTCTGTGTGTGTCTCTCTCTCTCTGCCCCTCCCCCGCTCATGTTCTGTCCCTGTCTCAAAAATAAATAAACTATTAAAAAAAACTTTAAAAAAATAAAAAGCATAAAAAAAAGAATCTACCTCTAAGCGTTGAATTCAATGTGTTGATAACAGTAAAACACTGAGCAGCATGTGGGGCACAAAGTAAGCCCTCAATTAACACCAGCTATTACACTGCCTTACCTGCCTGGCCCCTGAAATCCTGGGAGTTTGCGACCCTTGCTCCCATCCCGTGAAACTCTTTCCCAGAGTCCTTCGCTAAGAGCCTGGATGAAAGAGGAAGTCGGCCGGAGAGGTGGGGGTCCTGAAGCTTTATGCAAATAGAGGTCAAAGCCCGCCGGCAGCTGGGAGGTGTGGAGGCCCCATTAGTGTGGTGCTGGGGTCTCCTGGGGCAGGCTGGGTTAAAGGGCTCGCCCTCCCTTCCCTGTTTGTCTGCGGGGAATCTGGTGGTCTCTCCCCTCCCCAGTACCACCCCCGGAGAGAGCTGCCCCGGAGATCTACCAAGCCCGGAAAAGGGGAGTGGGCGGGATGGGGCGTGGGGGACTTACCCCCTGTCCCACACAGGGCTCTGCAGACGAGGCCATCGTGCGCCGCCCGTGCCTGTCCGTCTGTCCGCCCCGCGGTCTGTCTGTCTGTCCCGGGACAGCCTCTTTTGCCGCGCTTCGGGTCCTGGAAGGGGCGGAGACTGACAAGCTTGGCCGGGATTCCAGCTCCGGGATCGCCAGGCCCGGGGCAAGGTCCCGCCGCGCGGCAAGGGTGGGGCGGGAAGGGATGAGACCAGGTGATTGGAAGGGGCACTCTGGGCGGCCCGAGCTGGCCTTGGGGGAGGGGATCTCGGAGCCCCAGAAAGTGCGGTGGCATCCCGCTGAAACCCTCCAGGCCCGCAACTTGGGGGATGGACACTGTCTCCCTGTAGGGTAGTGGGAAGATATTAAGATTACTCGTAAAGAGTTTAGCACCGTGCCAGGAACACAGTAAATGCTCAGTAAGTTAACGATTATTAGTATTAGTAATGTTATTTCATCCATAGGTTACTAACGGGTGGTTCTCTGTGCCGTTTCAGATACCTAATATGAAAAGATAGTTGCTAAATGCTAAATGAAAACAAGATTATGATACAAAACAGGGTATAATATTTATGCAAAAAAATATGCTTAGATTGGGCAAAGGGGGGAAGGAAGACAAATCTTTGCCTTCCTCTCCTGGGTCTTAAAGCAGTGTGTTCCCAGCCAGTAGCTCTTTTTGGGAAATCCTCTAAGCAACATATACGCACGGATTTAAAAAATGGACGTGTAGTCCAGCAGTGATCGTGAGAATCCTCATTTTTCTTTTCTTTTCCCTTTCCTTTTTCTATTTTCTTTCTGCCACAAGCATGTATTCTTTTCAAGGTAGAAATGAAAAGACAGCCTTTTCAGACAGACCAGCACAGGTACTCTGTTTGGAGGAAGAAGTCATACTCTCTGCACTCCCCACACTGCCCTGTCACTTCTCTGCAGCTCCTGAAGGCCACCTCTGACATGGCGTCCCTTTCTTTTGGGGTTTCCCAGCCCTGGCCTGGGGCCCAAGTCAGTATGCCTTTGGCTGTGGCATACTGGAAGAGTATGCCTGGGTCTTCTGGAAGAGCAGGGACACAGAGAACAAACTCAGTTCTGAAGCTGAGTGTGGCAGTCTGCTATTCACGTTTATAAATTATGTCTGCTTATTTGAGGTGCTTTTGGTGGGGGCTCCTGGAAATTAGGGGGAGGCCTCTCTTCCTGTGACCCTACCTCTGATAGGCATTGCCACGGTCTTAGTGTTTATTTTATTGTATCTGTGAAGATGAATTTGTGGGGAAGGTGGGAGTTTCTGGGGAACTGAGGAAGAACACAGAGGAAATCAGTTGGGTGAGCCAAGAACAGAATCCTGTCCTCTGAACAGTACAAGGCTGAATGCAGAGCCCTAAACAAGTTCCTTTCCCTCTCTCAGCCTCAGTTTCCCATTCCGTAAAGTGAGAAGGTTCCATGGGCCACCATTTCCTAATGGGTGGCTTTCAGCTTCCTGGGGATTTATTTGTAAGACAAACCAGGGACTCATGCTAAGAAGAAGAAAGGGCATCTGTTTCAATTGTAGTTATAAATGACCAATAAATGACATAATTATTTAACTAGTTTCTCTCTATAACCACAGAGTTGAGAATTCCGCTGTATTTCGAGTGAGAAACTGAAATCAGATGTGCTCATAATTGAGATCCTTGGGGGATGTATCATTCCGTTGTCGGAACCAGGAAGGTTTTGACCATTGCATGGTTTAAACTCACTATGATTCATAGTTGTATACTGCTTAAGTCTTAGCCACAATGGTAAATTCTAGTACGAGATTTCCTCTCTTACCTGGTCATTTAGAAACAAAATATAAAAACTATCAAAATAAAGCACTTGATTCTCTTTCAGGGAAAAAATGGAAGAATTCCAGTATCAGGTCAGAAAAGCAATTTTTGTTTCTTTTGATGTGACATGCAGTTAAATTCAGTTCAGTTTTTGTCATAATATATATACAATCTTGGAGCAAAGCACAGCGATGCTGAGATTTGAGCTTGTTTTCTGACAAATCATGCTTCAAATCACAGACAATTCAGAGTAAATTAACTGCTTGCATCCCTTGCTTACAGGAAGAAAACTCTCAAGTTTGTTTCTACACAAATTTTATTAGAGCTGGAATTAAAATAAATTTCAAATACCCTTTGTTTTCTTTAACATTATTCTGACCTTAAATGGCCTACGTATTGCTTTTTAAAAAGTACTGATTAGTTATGGAAAAAATGCACTGACTTAAATTCCTAAAGAGGTTTTTGAGATTATATATCACCTGTGAAATACATGTGTCAAAAACATTTGGAGGACTTGTCGTTTCCAGTTTCAGCGACATTGAATTCCAAAGTATAATTCAACTTTGGAATTTGTGCCTATAATCAGGCACCTTGCAACTGCACCTGCCAGACGGTGCGTGGAGTCCTCCATGCCTCCAGAGGGCACAAATAATCTGGTATAGTTGCTGAGCATGCGCTGTAGTCAGTTTGTCTGGCAAGTGGGCGTGGGCCCGGAGTGCGCATGCGCAGCAGCGGGGGGGGCGGGGCCTGGGCTGTCAGCGGCGGGCAGAGGAGGAAGCTGCGGGCACCGCACGGAGCTAGGGGCGGGACCGGGAGGCCTGCGAAGGGTCGGGCGGCCGAGGCCCGGCCATGCGGGCGTGCGGGGTCTTGTGGCCCCCGGGGCCGGTGGTGGCGGTCGCCGCTGTGGTGCTGCTGCTGAGTGGCGTGGGTCCGGCGCGCGGCTCCGAGGACATCGTGGTGGGCTGCGGGGGCTTTGTCAAGTCGGACGTGGAGATCAACTACTCGCTCATCGAGGTGAGCGCCCGCCCCGCGGCCGGGGCGCGAGCTCGCTGTGTGACCCTGAGCCAGTCGCTCGACTTGTCTGGGCTGCGGTGGCCTCGCCTCAGACACCAGGCTGTTGCACCTGCCCTACGTTCTAGGAGTCCTTGCCTCCTTGAAGACTCCGCTCTCCGCGGCTCTACACCATCCCATACCCTCCCCGTCGCACTGGGGTGGGGGTTCCTATCGTGGGGTCAGCTTCGGAGTGGGGGTGGGGGCCTAGAGGCATGTGTGCAAAAGGGGTGTGAGAGGCATTTTTGGTTGACGATGCTGGTGGTTCATAGCTTTTATCCGGTTACTCAAAACGAAGGATCCCCCAGATGAAGACCCCAGGCTCTTCAGAACTCAAATTCCAGAAACCCAGAATCCAGATCCAAGATAATAGGGAACTCTGACCGTCCCCAGAATCCAGGCCCCAGATCTCTTAAAACCCAGTCTCAGCGGGACCCAGACCCCCTGAAACTTAAGAGTTCTTGCAGCCCGTATTCCAAAACATAGAGACTGCAATTCTTTATCCCCTTGCCCCACATCTCAGAGCCCCGAGACGTTCTAATCTATTCCTCCAACCCCCCCATCCCCACCGTGGATGCTTTTAGACGGCATTGATTCCCATCCGAAAGATCTTGACCAGGTAGATCTCTGTTGGCCTCTCTGGGGCTGGGAATATGTGACTCTAACCTTTCCCGGTGCCCCCCACCCTGAGATGCCTTTTCCTATGAAAATGGAGAGTTGTCAGCTGCCCTGATTGCCTTTCTGGGTAGTTACTGGAATTAGGCTAGAGATTTGTGCTGAAGCCTTTTTGCTTAAGTTGTAAACCCCAGGCAGTTACATGATTATCAGTCCAGTGGGATTATGACCCAGAAAGCTTTTGTGAAGAGGAAGGTCACTTGTCAGGATAGATGGGAGGGGACCTGAGGGAGAGGTGGCCTCTGTCTTTGGAAGGTACTGATGATGGGTCAGGGGAAGGGGGTTGGAGAGAGAGAGAAAAGGAAGAGGCTGTTAGCTGGCAAAGAGAAGGGACTTTGGGGGAGACTAAGACCCCAAAGGCTGACAGAAAGCACATTTGGGCCAGTCCGTTGCTGGCAGCTGAAGGGCTGTGGTGAATGAATGAACCAGTCAGTATGTTCCACAAATCTGGTTGCTGGGGTGGGTTTGGGGAGGGGTAGAAAATAGATTCCACACCCCACTGGGTCTGTCAACCTGGCCTTGTTCCAAATCCAAGTTTTTGTTCCTGGAGGATGGTTTTGAGACAGAACTCGGCGGAATCCAGCACCGTGTATTTCCTGAAGAAAATAATGATCACCTTCAAGACTCCTCTGCCTGTGGCTTCTCTGCCATTTTTGATCCTAAGTCAGGTGTTTCGTGAGGCTACCCACGCGCAGTGGCAGGATTCTTAGGGCTCTGCTGGGTGCTTGTGCCACCTCCTGGAGTGTCTCCCAGTGTGTGGGCACAGGCCAGTTCAGAAGCCGCCTTGCAAGGTTTTTTGCAACTTAGTTTCCTGGGGCTCCCAGAGAAAAGTGAAGCGAGAGATGTTAGTAATACCACATAGTCATATGGCAAAGTCTTAAGAATACTTTTTTTGAGCCATGCTGTCTGCCAGGTGCTTAATATGCCTAGAGGTGAATCTGCATTATCACCACAAAGGGGAATGGCTCTTTTCTTAGCCATGAAGAAACTGGACCTCAGGAGGTTAAATGACTTGCCCAAGGCCATGCAGTATGTGGAAAACCCAGATGTTGCTTGACTATCTTAAAAGGTTAACAGATTGTATTTGGAAATGCCCAGGATGCAGTAACTTTAGAGAGCCCTTGAAAAGACACGTATTAAGTGCCTTTCGATTTATTTTTGGCCGAGAATGAAAATAAAAGAGGAGATTAAAAATTCCTAGATGAGTGTTACTCCCAAGTATTGGAAATCATTTGAAGAGAATACAGATCCCTGACACCCCCCCGCCCATCCCAAGGCCTTCTAGTTTAGAAACAGAAGTGGGGCTTGGGGATTGCATTTTAATAAGCACCTTATTAACAGCAAATTGGAAAATTTGTTTCGGATCCATAGGGACAGCCACTAAAAATTCACTATTGAAAAATGTGACTTTGAGGGGTAGTCCTTAGAGGGTTTCTAACCTGAAAAATACATAATCACACGGTTTTATGGACACTTTGTCTTATTTCTCTCTGTAACGCCTGGTGTTCATCGCAGCACATAGTAGGTCTGCA